TTGAATTCCTAAATCCTGAATCATCTCGATAACAGATTCACGCAAATCAGTGAATGGATCGACAGAGAACTTGACTGCACAAATGCTTCTAACTGTTAACATGCCACTAACATCATCAGGCAAGCTAGCTGAAAAACTAATTCTGTTCTTCCGGTTATGCCAATATCTGCTCTCGTCCTTCCTCTCGACTTCTCCTGCAGTGTCCATGAAACCCAAAAGACTAAAACAGAAGACTACGAAGCTAGATAGTGCACGAACCCGATATCCTTCATCTTGTGAGTTATATTAGGATGTGGGTGAGAAGCACTTCAATGGTAAAATTCAAAACTTCACATGTTGCAAGAGTGCGGCGCTTGCAAATTAAAAATTCTTGTGATGTGGTTTGAGGAACATATCAATTGAATCATAAATGATAACACACTGCTTTTTCTCTGCAAATTCTTGTGACTAATTATTGATAGAGCCTGTAGATAAAAGATTAAATGATAACAAAATCAAAATTTTGGTAATCAATTATCTTAAAATTCATCATACTATCCCTTACAAATTTATTAAAACTGAAAACTTCGATCGAGTTGAAATTGTTAGAAGCATCAGATTTCTGTTTGCACCCAATTCAACTGCTTGCTTATTCACGACAAGGGTAAGAATTCAGATCATCCCAAACACCAAAGAACTCAGAAGCCTATATGTGTATACGTATTGATACTATATTTTTTTCCAATTTAATAATATTTTAGAAGTAAAATATAGAAAGAAAAATATGTTCTTAATTATTTTAATAAAATATAGAAAATGAGTTTGCTATCAAGGCTGAGAAAGAGCAACACTGCACGTCTAATTTATACGTATTAAAGAAAATTAATTATTAGACCCTTTGACTTTTGGTCATAAATAATTTTTCTTTTTTTAATATTAAACTTTTTTTTTATTGTAAAACTTATTATAAAATATTTGGTAGCAGCAACCCCTCCCTGCTTCAACATTATACGGTCCACCAATGTCACCTCCAACTATTTTCTCTCACCTCACTTTTCCATATAAATAAATAATTTAATTTTTAATATTTTTTAAAATTATATTTTTAATTTTTATTATAATTTAACTGAGAAATAAATATAGTAAAAGAAAAAAGAAAAATATTTAAGCAAATTTGTTTTTTTTTATATGGGAAGAAGAAGTATTGGGTTTCCATATATATATATATAGAGAGAGAGAGAAATGAATCCTTTTTTGTGCCACGTCACGTACATCCTCAAAAATAAACGTGGGACAGCTCAGCCACACTTAAAAAAAAAAAAAAAAAAAAACCAGTTAATGTCGTTAGTGACGTCAGTCTCCGGCCAAAAAGGAAAGTAGGTCTCACTACAGATTCATATATTCTTCCCAAATAGGAAACTAAAAAAAAAAGAGTAGTGGGGGGGAAAATGAATTCCCACTTTCGGCGTCCAAAAAGATGAAGCAACCACTTCTTTTTGCTTTTGTAATTTAAAGTCTTCATTAAATAATATATTATTAAAATTAATATTCAATAAAATATTTAACCATTAACCGTTAACCATTATTATTATTATTTTAATTAAAAAAATTAATTTAATTATTGTAATTTTGTATAATTATTTTTAGCCTATTTCCGTACATTCTATTCTGGGCAAAAAAAAAAAACAACCCGGCAGCCTTTGGTTAGCACCAACCAACAGAAACCAGCAAGAGCCACTGTGGGGAGGGACATTAATTTTTCTGGCAATGAATATCCAAAAACTAAAATTAATATTAAAAAAAATAATAATAAAGTAATAAGAATATTGAAAATATAAAATTAAATTATGATTTAAAAAAAAAAAAAAGTTATTAAGTAGTACACGTGCACGCGTGACAGAAATATAATATGTATGCTTTAAAGGGGAGGAAAGTGAAAAAGATAAAAAGTTTGGGGGCCTAAAAATAAATTAAATAAAACAAACAACGCCTTCTCAGGATTCTGTTTCGACCATAATAAACAACCACGACACCTCTTTATTACCCCCTTTTTCCTTCCATTTCATTTCATCAAATTTTTGGAGAACTATTTTTTCTCTTTTTTGAGATTCAGTTGTTTGATTCTCCAACTCCTTCTTCGTCATCTTCTTCGTCGGATTCGCTCAAATTGTTCACCTAACAGTAGGCGAATCGGATATTGTTTGCATTCCCCTGCTAATTTGAGTTTCGTCCTCTTCATCTTATCGAACAATCCGTTTGGGATTTTTTTCTGGAAATGAGGAAGGAAAGGAGATCAATGGAGAAGAAAGGAAGGATATCGAGGATTGGGAGGTACGCCATTGCGTCCTCCATTAGTGATCACCATCAACAACCTTGCATTACCTGTACCACCTTCAATATCCTCGCTCCTATCTACAAGCGTCTCTCACATAAGGTTCCTCTTTCTGTTTTTCTTCTCTCTCCTTTCCTTTTCCGTCTTCAATCTCATTCTTCATTTTAATCTCTGTTGCATTATCTTCTGTGCAGGACCAGAGTCGCCGAGAAAGTGATAACCGGGCCTACTGGCTTGCCAGGAATCACAGGATTTTGGATTTGCTCTTGTATGAGAGATCTTCCATCATCTGTCTGCAGGTTTCTTTCTTTCTTCTTTCGTCCATCTTCCTGCGCTGCATTTTTTGATCGTGATATTTGTTTTTTCCCTTCTTCGTGAATTGTTTCATGACCTTTTGTTTGATTATTATACGAATATGTTAATGGAGAATGAACGTGAATGGATTTGCGCAGGAGTTTTGGGTAGGGAACGACGAGCTTGTCGATATGTACGAAAAAAGACTTGGCGACGCTGGTTATATCAATTTCAAACTCGCTCGCACCAATAACCGTGGTGATGGTATTGTCTTCTTTCCTTATCTTTTCAAAAAATTATATAAAAGCCACGGTTTGTCAATCTCTCCTTTCCTAATTATGTGGATTTGTCAAATAACAATAAGCAATGCGCCTTTATAATTACTCACACTTCTTCCTTTTCTTCTCTCCCCGTTTTAGTTGCCTAGATTTACACGCCAAAAAATGAAAATAAATAGAGAGAGAGGGAAAAGGTTAAGCGGGAATAGAAAATTGGGGAGGTAAAAGGGAGAAAACATCCTTGTGTGTGCCCAATTTTCATATATTTTGACCAATCTGTACTACTCTATGGTTATCATGAAAACACTAATTCCTATTTTGTTTTCTCTAATTAATGGTTCAATCATTTCACAGTCATGCATTTAAATTTTTAAATCCACCCTGTTAATTAATGAATATGATATGCTTCTTACCGTTAGCTCTGCTTTATCTTCTATGATGGATTCAATTTTCATATATTTGACCAACCCGTTCTACTCTTTGGCTAACATGGAAACGCTAATTCCAGTCTTGTTGTTCGGTCTTAAGGGTATAATCACTTTAGAATCATGCATACAGATACTAAAAACCCACCTTAATTAATGATTTAATATGTTTTCTAGCCTAAGTTTCTGCTTTATATCCAATTCCACAGAATTCAAATTTGTATTCTACTCTTTGGTTATCATGGAAACACTAACTCCAGTTTTCTTTTCCCCAATTAAGGGTTTAATCACTTTATGACCGTGCACTTGAAATTTGAAATTCCATCCTGTTAATTAATATAGTGTATGTTCCCTAGCCTAAGCTTCTGTTTTATCTTCTATTCGATAGAATTTGGTGATATGTTGGATCTGCCCTCTTAAGTCTTTGGTGCCTCAACAATTGCTAAACAAATGAGGATGTCCGCTGCCTGCCATCATTGGTTGTAAATATGAAAATTGCAAAAAGATTTCGATAAACTTGAGAGATGATAAATTGTTTGTTTTTCCTGCCACTCACTGCTTTCATTTGAAACTGAAACTTTTCTTGTGGGTTTCACAGGTTTGCTGACTGCCATCCGCAAGGACCACTTCAGAGTTCTTAACTACAGGGAATTGCTCTTTAATGACTGTGGAGACCGTGTTGCTCAGGTTTTGCATGTTGCATCACCTTTTCCCTCTTCACAATGCCGAAACGATGATATTCAGCAAGAAGTCCTTATTGTCAACACTCACTTGTTGTTTCCACACGATTCAACTCTATCTATCGTACGATTGCAACAAGTAAATCCAACACAACTAAATTTTTTTTTTGATTATATATCTTGAAAGTGACCACTTGTTCTGATCATATTGCCATTCACCATTTTTCATATTGATCCTTATGCCTGGATGCTCTGTAACAGGTCTATAAAATTCTGCAATACGTGGAATCTTATCAGAAAGATTACAACCTTAATCCCATGCCAATTATACTCTGCGGGTATACATAATGAAGTTTCTTCTGCTCATTAGGTTTCTTGCTTGTTCTTTTAGGAGAAACTAATTCATTTTAATTCTTTTTGTTGCCCCTTTGTACTTCTGGAAGTGACTGGAATGGGAGTAAAAGTGGACATGTTTACAGATTTCTTCGATCACAGGGGTTTATGTCATCGTATGATACTGCTCATCAGTATGCTGATGCTGATGCTCACAAGGTCGTTATCTGCATCATCATGTTAATTTCTATTCCATTCTGACAGAATATTTTTCCAAATCTCATCGTTTTGGTACTTTCTGCAGTGGGTTAGCCACCGTAATCATCGGGGGAACATATGTGGTGTGGATTTTATTTGGCTTCTTAATCCCGATAGGTATCGCAAGCTACTAAAGACAAGTTGGACTGAAGCAGTATTTGGCATGTTTAAGGTCAGAAATTATTCTTTTGTTTTGTCAACCTAGGCTTTTTGCTTTCTTTGTTTTCTTTTCCACAATATTTGTTTCAAGCGTAGAAAATGAGGTGGCATGTCCTTGGTTTTACTTCTAGATTAGGTCCATTTCTTTAATCTGAATGCCTTGCCTGGCTTTGTTTTAAGCAAAAATCATTCTTTCTTTAAATTGAGGATAAGTAAGAAGATAAAGAGGACATTTCTAGATGTCTTTTATATCTTAATCTTGCTTAATAGCATAGGAATTTTCCCTTGTTAGTGACATGAAAACTCCTTGCTTTTTTATTTTCTGACGACGGAACTTTCGTAATTTTTCAGTATCAACTAAGAAGGGCTTCACTTACGGAGTACGATGCTTTTGCTTTTCTGAAGGATGATAATGACGGTGACTACATTACCTATTCAGGATTTTGTGAAGCTCTCCGACAGGTGAGGAATCTTGGTTTAGCAGGATGGTCAACCTTTTTACTTCCGTCTCTGTTTTTGGTTTTTCCCGATTTCTGATAAACAATCTGTTATATAAGCATGACATTTCTTTGCTATCAATGCACAGCTTAATTTAACGGGTCATTGCCATGGGCTCAGTGCTGAAGAGACTAGGGACTTGTGGGTCCAAGCTGATATTGATGGAAATAATGTCCTTGATTACAAAGAATTTCAGGTAAAATATTTCGTGAACCTTGTTTTAGGCTCTCATGTATTTGAAGAATTAGTTTTTAGGCTCAAGCACTTGATGATCAATTCATATCTGAACTGTTGAGTTTAGGCAAAAACTGGTGCCGTTTGTTAGTGTAGAACACTAAAGCTGCTAGTTATACCTGGCTGTCTCATTCTGCTATGTGCTTTTATTTGTATGTTTACATAAAATTCACAGAGAAACATAAAATGGAGGAGAAATGCAGGTGGTACCACTGGAGATTGTTCTAACAGTTTTTTTAGTAGAAATAGCTTAAACTAAACTGTAATATCACTGCATTATCGTGGGTGGGAAGAATTGGTTTAAAACATGAAAAGGACAAAGAAAAAAGCAAGGAAGGGAAGAAAAAATATATGGACATGAGGAAAAGATTGTTGGACATGGAACTAATTTTTCTTCTTCCTGACATAAATTATCAAATGGTTTCACTGCAGCAACGGATTTGGAACCCTACATGGTTGAAGAAGAAGGATGAAATCAGCGGTGAAATTGATGATTCTAAGTTAGAGGGCCATCGAGAGCAAACCATTGGGTTCAGCGTGAAGAATGCAGTTTTATTCCCTCCTGAAGTGGAAAAAGGAAGGTGGCCGGAAAATTATTTTCTTTCTGATCATGCCCGACTTACCGTGGTCTTCTCGCCAATAAGAATGCCGCGGCTGATATCTTGAACAAGCATTCGGATTCCTCTATGCCCCGTCTTGTGCGTAGATCTTCTGAGGAAAACGACGACAGTTTGAAATGAAAAAGCTTTTCAAGGTCCAAGGAGAATTCGTGCCATGGACAAGGAAACGCCCCTCACGGAACCATGGTCAATGATCTTGATTTGAAGCGTCAACCCTCAACCATTTTCATGGATCGGAAACCGGCAAGATTGAAGACGACTGTGGGAATTCTTCGCCATTCTTACAGGTCTCCTATTGGCCACTGGTAATGGGATGAGCTTTTTACTTGCATAACTCTTTTGCTTTTATTGCTATGCAAACCCCATTTGGGACGGGAAGGAAAGAAATATCTGATTGTATACTTGTGGAAACACATAGTTTGACTGTTTCCAGGTACAGTATAGGACCTCGTTAGCGCACACACAACAAAATTACTGTATAACAGCCCTGACTAGATGAGTAATAGATGAAAAGTTGTAAAGAAATTAGAGCTGAAAAAGGGACGAGTTTACAAATGTGCATGAAGAGAATTGGGATAAACAAGTTCATTTATTATTGATTTGAGAGTTTTGCTTTTTTTTGCAGAATACATTTTGGGTAACGACGAAATCTAACAGCTTTTGAATATTACAAATGGGCCGCCGTATATGTTTGAGAAATAACTATTCTAACTCAATATATGATTTTTTTTTTTTTAAAGAGGAGTTTATTTTCTTTTTCTACTCGGATAAAATTTTCATGTGAAGTTTAGAATCATATATTTTTATTTTTACCCATTTTGACGAAGTTTGAATAAATTGTCTTAATTTCACATTATGTTCAATCCTAGTATATATATATATATATATATAATATTCAATAATAACTATGATGGGCGATCACAGCAAAAGGTGAAAGCTTGAAGATTATATAATTGGGTTGCCAAATCTTCTTTTCTTCCTTTTAAACTTTGACATTGTTTCCAATCAGACAAAAGACACAGAAAGGCAGAATATGTGTGATTATTAGAGAAAGAGACCACCAGATTTAAACTTATTTGGCTGCAATTAGGATTGGGTTTAAAGGGTAATAAAAAAAAATTAGTGAAAGCTAATTTTTCTGCGGATGAAAAGGAAAAAAAAAAACAAAAGTTGCGTTATAACTTTAATAATCCCACTTCTCCATGGTTTTGTCTAAAGCTTTTTCCCTACATTTCTTATTACGCTCAAGACTGAATTAATATTTAAGACTTTATATTCTAAATTCTCCATACCTTTTGCCACTTTGTTTTGTCTACACCCAGTAGTTTTCTTTCTAGCGTTCACACCGCGAATCCCCACCACGAGATGAGTCTTGTATAAGTTATTGGAAATAACTTGGAGCTTGCCCTGGTTCAAAGGTAAAATATTCTCTACTTTTTTACTAATATATCAAAATTAAGATATAATATATACATATATATATTTATTTAAAAATCAAACTTAATTAATTATTGCATTTTGACGAAAAGGGCAAAACTTTGATTATTTATTTTAAAAATATGAAGAAAAAGGCTAAAACAGAAATAATAATGACAATAAATTATTAAAATATGAAAGGAAGAAATAATATTAGAAAGAACAAAATAAGCCCAATGGGCCACACCCACCGGATACGGCTTATGAAAGGTCGCATCAATCGCTTTTTTTCCGACCTTTTGAATGCGGTCACATTTTTATAAATTAAATTAAATTAAATACATTTTAATTATTTTTATAAAATTTATTCGAAAATTATACATTTAATTCTCATAGAATAATAATTTTATTTTTTAAAAAAATCATTTCTTTTAATTTATATTTTCGCAAAACATAATAATTTAAATGGATTTCTTGTGTGCCTCCAGTGTGGAGCTGACACAAGTGGAGTTCCCGGCAGCTTCGATCAACAGTTGCCACCGCATCAGTCTCGTACGAGCAGACGTCCTCAACACACGTGTCGAGATCCGGTTGGCCGGCAGACGAAAAGAACCCATTTAGCTTGCTGGTTACGTTTCCTCATTTTCCCCATTCTACCCTTCTTCTGGGGCGCGTATCGAAAAGAGAAATAGGGGCAAAAAGGGAAAAATAATAAATAAAAAAACAAAGGAAAGCGAGGACTGACATTCCTACGTCTTACGCGGAATATCCCAACTTTAATCCACGCGGTGAGTTGAGTTCTACCAATAAAAATCCCCGGGAGACTGAGCCAACTCGACGACCTTTACTTTTCTCTCTCTCGACTAACAACTATGGTGGCCCTGCCTGAATCTTCCTGAATTTCTCTCTCATCAAAATCTTCTCTTTTGCTCGTGTTAGGGTTTTTGCTGCTTCATTTTTCTTCTCCTCTTTGTTTCCAGACCATGGCATCGCTGTCGTTGAACTCCCTGCCCTTGGGATTTAGATTCCGACCCACCGACGTGGAGCTGGTTCATTACTATTTGCGCTTGAAGATCAATGGTAACAATGATGATGTCTGCGTTATTCGCGAGATTGATGTTTGTAAATGGGAGCCCTGGGACTTACCTGGTACTAACCTTAATTCGTATGATTTAACTTTTTTATCAGAATTATTTACGTTGAATCTTGATTAGATTTTGTTCATTTCATTTTCGGTCAACCCTAACCAAGCAATTATTTGGTTTAGGTAAAAACAATTTTTATTGGAAGTAGATTGAATTCATTAAAATGTTTACTTTGGTATGGCCTGTAGATTTATCGGTGATCAAAACCAGAGACCTGGAGTGGTTCTTCTTCTGCCCGCTGGACAGAAAGTACCCAAATGGTAGCAGATTGAACAGGGCAACGGAGGCTGGTTACTGGAAGGCTACTGGCAAGGATCGCAAAATTAAGTCCGGAGCCAACCTGATAGGCATGAAGAAAACTCTGGTCTTTTATACTGGTAGAGCTCCGAAGGGGAAAAGGACCAACTGGGTTATGCACGAGTACCGCGCAACGGAGGATGACCTTGATGGCAGCAGGCCTGGCCAGGTTTTAATTTTTCCATTTTCTTTTTCCTCTATTTCCCCTGTTCTTGAGTTTTCGTTTTCCCTTAATTTTTACATTGTTGTTTCTCAGCTTATGTGAGTTTGTTTAGCTCAAGTTGAGTTGGTTGTCACTAAGCTATCCATAGTTTAGAGTTTCTTTTATATAGCCAGAATCAAAAGTATAAACAATGATTATATGGGTTCTTCTGCTGCGCATGTTTTTTTTTTTTTTTTTTTATCATGTAAAGTATTGATCTCTCATGTAGATGAACAAGTATTCTTTGGGCCAGTTTCAGTAATGTTAGTTTAAAGTATAATACTAGATCAGTTACTCAAATTCTGATTCATATGTGGTGTTGATTTGGTGCAGACTGCTTTTGTTCTTTTAAAATTATTCAAGAAACAAGATGAGAACCTTGAAGGTTCAAACTGTGATGAAACTGAACCCAGTAATTTATCACCTACAGTTGTTAAACCATCCCTGGAAGATCTGCAGTCTGAGTTAGAATTGCCCCAAGTGTCTCCATCTTTGGAAAGGCAAGAGGAAAAGCCTTCTAGGAATGCTGAATCGTGTTTTGCTGATTTCTCTGACGGAACAACTTCATGCACTCAAGTGCTTGCCGAGTGTCACAGCACCAATTCTAATGTTTGCAATGTGGAAGACCAAGCAGCCGAAGTGACAGGTTCAGATGTGAGAAAACTAATTTATTTTAAGTATCTTCTATTCTTTGTGAAATTCAGAAATTTTAAAGTTCTGGACTCTTTTGTGCTTTATACTTTAGGTGGATGCTCAGCTGGAAGCAAATCTGAATTTGTTCTATGACCCATTGTTGGAGCCCCTGGACTACAATCTTTTTTCGCCGCTGCATTCACAGATGCAATCAGAGTTGGGATCTTCTTGTATGCTTTACCCCAATGACACTGCGGTGAGTGACAGTAAGGGAATGGAGTTTCAGTATGGTTCAAATGAGTCAGATGCCTATATCTCAGAGTTTTTAGACTCTGTCATTAAAGATTCTGAAGAGTATTCCTATAACTTATCCGCCGGACCAATGAATTCAACTATTGAAAGTGAGACCACAAATAACATGGGCTCTGTTAAGGACAGTGGATCATGCAGCGAGTCAGATGCGGAAGTGGCCCAAGAACAAGTTCTTTCTGTTCACGAGCTTGAATCAGAGTATCCCAATACTTGGGAATATGCTGCAATGACGAGCAGCAACTTCCTGATGGAAACAACTCACAAAGAGCAAACAAACCCGAGCATATTACAAAATGAATATGCAAAGCATTACTATCCCTTGTCTGGTTTTGCTCCAGTCCAAAGTTCAAATTCATTCAGTACTTACCAGGAATTAGGCAATCCTAAGAATGCAAATGGCTATAGTGATATCTCTGGCACTGGAATTAGGATTAGATCTCGCCAGATTCAAAGTCAGCCGTATACAGAGAACCCTGTGATTCAAGGGAGTGCACCACGAAGATTACGTCTGCAGACTAGTGTTCGAGGTCAGATCACAAAGACAGGACATAATCATGGGAGGAAACCAATTGATAAAGAGGTGAGAATTGTGTTAAATGAAGCTAGAGTGAGATGCAGCGATGCTGATTTTATTTTCACTAGTTCTAAATTTCCAATTGATAAGGTTCATTGGTTTTGATTTTAATGGAACTTGTTGGGTGCAGGAGAAGACTGTACCAGAAGAGCAGAATGCATCCATACAGGAGGACTCCTGGGAAAACATCGAAAGACATCAAGAGCTACATGCAGGCATGTCGCAAAAGACAATCCCAAAATCTAGGGAGCTTGTTTTCGCTTACAAACAGGTCAGGTCCATCGTCTCGAAGGCTCCGTTGTCTAGCCGGACCAAAATTTGGTGTTATACCACAATGCTTAGAGTGGCCGTGGTTGCGGTTGTGTTTTTGATGTCAGTTTTCACGTGGAGATTTCTGAAAGTTGAAAGCTAATGAGTGAAATTGTTGTTTGTATATATATATATATATATATATATATATATATAAACTGCATCGTATTATTTTTGAAAATGACATACATATATAGTTAGACGTACAGTTTTGCTAGATGTATTTATATTATATAATCTAATGTTGTACAGTACTCTTCCGACTTACTCCATTTGTTCATATGGGAGAAAATGAGATTATGGCTTTCATGTTATCTTCTTCTTCTTTGCCCCTCTCTCATTCTTGTTGAAAGTTGCATGACATACTGTGTAAGGGTATTTTGATTGTTTTTTTAAGAATATTTTTTTCATAAAATTTAATTAAAATTTTAATAAATAAATAAATAAATTTAAAAGAATCCACCCACAAGCCAAGTCTTGCAAAATTAATTGGATTTTAAATTTTATTAATTTTAAATATTACATTATTGAATTTTTAATTTTTAAAAAATTTTCAGATAAGACAAAGTTGGATGTACTCGGGTTGGGCCAAATAAAATTGGATGGTCCGGCTTTTCTTAACTTAGCCCATGCCTAAACCAGGCCCAAATAGGACAAAGCCGAAATGGCCCGATAGATGGTCCGAATCGGGTACGGATCAACCCGTATTTTTATATACACGGGTTCATTGCGCATTACCGAATGGTGTAGTAAACCAGCTGAGCTGATGTCAAGTCAATTTGCAAGTCTTCCTCAGCCCACCGGTGAATCAGTTGTAAAATCGTAGGCAATTAATTCTTTAAACAGGAAATTTCAAACGGATAATCGTCGGATTAATTTATTAAATTCTACTTTAAGAATCTCTCCATTATGTTTTTTTGACATTTTGTATTCATCCTTCCCATCGTTTTCTGTCTTTACCAGTAAAAAGTTCTTCATCAACCTTTAGCACTCTGCAAACTACAATCTCTTTTAGAATTCATGATCTTATATTACATTTTCCCTTGCTCTATTGCTCATTTAGTTCCTTATTTGCTTCTTTCACTCGCTTACTTCTCTGCGATTCATGGCGATTCCAACTCTGCTACTCAAATTTACGCCAATCAAATCTTGAACTCAGCCCAACAAAATTTTGATTGGTTGGTCTCACTGAGGAGGCAAATCCATGAAAACCCTGAACTCAGTTTCCAGGAACACAACACCAGCGCTCTTATTCGCCGAGAACTCGACAAGCTGGTCATCCCTTATTCCTATCCACTTGCCGGAACCGGGATAGTTGCCGAAATTGGGTCTGGTTCTCTCCCTGTGGTTGCGCTTCGAGCCGATATGGACGCCCTCCCTTTGCGGGTAATCTTCTTGTACAATTCCCATTTTACTAATTAGTACCTTCTTCTGTATCTTTTCTCTGCGATTGACGAATACCATTGAGCTGATTACAATTTACATTTGCTGTTTTAATGCCGAAGGAGCTTGTCGATTGGAAGTATAGAAGCAAAATTGATGGTAGGATGCACGCGTGCGGACATGATGCTCATACAACTATGCTTCTGGGTGCTGCAAAGTTACTTAATCAGCGCAAGGAAAAACTCAAGGTCACTGTTCCCCCAATTTCTAGTGATAAAGTAAAGCAAATTAGTTAGACAAGACGTAAATAGTAATTTTAACCATATGAAGTATATTTGAACGCAAATAACATTAACTTTAAGTTAATCCGCATATGCCAATCAGGGTAGTTACCTTTGTGATTACTGTTGATAAATATAATGTAAATAATAATTGTAGAATTGAAAAGAGAGTGAGTTTTATTTGAATCATTTGTTAAAAATGTAAATTTTGGTTAAGTTTTATGTATCGAATAATTAAGATATCATGATCAAGTATAAGTAAAATAAAATTGAACTAAATGCAAGTTACGAGTATCATTTTCGTTGTTGTTATGATGGAAGCATTTACCGGAGCTTTTTCTTGCCTCTTCAGCATTCTAATTTCATCCCTCTATAGGTTTGTTTGTGGGTTTTAGTGTAGGCTTTTCAACCTGACCAAATGCAACTTACGAGTATCACTTTCGTTGTTGTTATGATGGAAGCATTCGCTGGAGCTTTTTCTTGCCACTTTAACATTCTGATTTCATGCATCTATAGGTTTGTTTGTGGGTTTTAGTGCAGGCCTTTTCAAACTTAACTAGTATTTCCTTTTAACTAAAGGGAACTGTAAGACTTATCTTCCAACCTGCTGAGGAACGAGGTGCTGGTGCATCTCGGATGATAGAAGAAGGAGCTCTTGGTGATGCTGAAGCAATATTTGCGATGCACATTGATCACGAGTTACCCACTGGAAGCATAGCAATCCTTTCAGGGCCTGTTTCAGCTTCTGTGTCTTTCTTTGAAGCGAGGATAGAAGGAAAAGGTGGGCATGCTGCTATTCCCCATTCTACTACAGATCCAATACTTGCTGCATCCTTCGCAATTTTAGCTCTTCAACAACTCATTTCAAGAGAGGATGATTCCCTTCATAGTCAAGTATGGTTCTATCATGTACCTGTTCATCGAATCAATGCATGATTTAGATTTGATGACTTAGTACTCTTTCTTGTGAAAGCTTCAATTGTTTATAATCTTAAACAGACCAAAACCCATGTCAGATCTTATATATCCCTGTTAGCTAGTTATTCAATGCTTATTTTTCAGGCTACGTTAGCATCATCTGATATTTGTTTATGCAAGAATGTAGCCGATGGGCTAATTTTAATAATTTGTTTTGGATGGAAGGTGCTTTCTGTTACTTTTGTTAGAGGTGGGACTGCATTTAATGTAATTCCACCATATGTGGTGTTTGGCGGCACCTTGAGAAGTCTTACAACTGAAGGAATGCATAGGCTTCAGCGGAGATTGAAAGAGGTATACTTGGATAATTTCACTTCTATCTTAGAAAAAACTAAAAATTGTCATGTGGATCATCATTTTTGGCACATGCATTTAATCTGGTAACCTTATCTTTCCAAGTTTCTGTCCAGTTGCTTATCTATCATATTACAGTTCATCTATTTGTGTCATTGTAATAGAAACTTAGTATCAGCCTCTTTTGGTTCTTGCTCTTCATGGTGTTGCTTTTATTCTCCAATCATTTTGGTCATCCGTCAGTTCCAAACCCATGTATACATTAGCATGCTCCTCCTCCGAGTCTATGAAGAGCACTGTGTGTAGCAAGGTTAGGTTTCAATTGGTTAATCCTCACAATTCATAGAGTTGCTTTTATTCATTAGTCATTTTCAGACTCCCTCGCTAATTCCTCTATATCACCCCTGTTAGGACTCGTTTCCTCCAAATCTACAAAGAGCACCCACATGTTTTGAAGTTGTTGGTTAATCATGAGGTTTTCTTCTGTGAGCATCACTTTCTTGAATACAACTCTGGACAAATCCGAGGGTTTTGTCAAGTTGTAATTTCCTTTAACAAGTAATATATGTTTTAATGTTGAAAAGCTAGCTGGCATGTTTTACACGAGTGTGTTTGTGCAGGTTATTGAAGGACAAGCAGCCGTACACAGATGTACGGCTTATATTGACATGAAAGAAGAAGATCTTCCATCATATCCTGCACTTGTGAATGATGAAACTCTGTATGCTCATGTTAATAATGTTGGTAAGCTCATGGTTGGTGCCGAGAATGTTAAAGCGGGCAAGAAAGTAATGGCTGGGGAGGATTTTGCATTTTATCAAGAATTGATTCCAGGATTCATGCTTAGCATTGGAATTCGAAACAAAGAAGTGGGTTCAATACATTCCCCGCACTCGCCTCACTTTTTTCTTGATGAGAATGTGCTTGCAATCGGGGCTGCATTACATACTGCTCTTGCTGAGATGTACCTCGATGAGAATCAATGTTAATCATGTTGAAATCACTGAAAGATTCCAAAACAACCTCTTTATTCTTCAATGTACTCCAGGTTTCCTTATAATCAGCTCAAATACTTCAAGCTTGCGGCTAATTTTTGGATCTGTTAGAGGATTTCGAAAAATTTAATGTTTGGGTGAGGCCAATGAGTCTTGACCCATAATTTGATAAAGCATGTATTTTATTTGAATGACAAATGACAAAGAAATAGAAAAAGACATTGAAACTCTGTAAGGTGGTGATTGAAATAGAATGCCCAAGTTCATCCACACCCAATGTATCTGCCTTTGTTCTTCTGAAAATTATTCAAGAAACAAGATGAAAACCTTGAAGGTTCAAACTGTGATGGAACTGAACCCACTAATTCATCTCTGAAAGATGTGCAGTCTGAGTCAGAATTGCCCCAAGTGTCTCCATCTCTGGAAAGGCAAGAGGAAAAGCATTCTGGGAATGATGAATCTTGTTTTGCTGATTTCTCTGAAAAGAAAACTTCATGCACTCAAGTGCTTGCCGAGTTTTTTATTATTATTTTAAATTATTAAATACAGGGGTTCATTGCGAATAATTGAGTAGTATTAGTAGTAAACCAGCTGAGCAGATATCAACTCAGTTTCGAAAGCTTCCTCCGAGCACCAGTTGTAAAGTTGTAGGCAATTAAATCTTTGAACAGGAAATTTCAAATCGATAATCTTCAGATCAATTTATTAGATTGTACTAAAAGTAATCTACCTATCATGTTGTTTGACATCTTGATTCATCCTTCCCATCGTTTTTTGTTTTTATCAGAAAAAAGTCCTTCGTCAACCTTTAGCTCTCTGCAAACTACAATCCATTTGAGAATTCATGATCCTATATTACATTTTCCCTTGCTCTATTCCTCATTTTGTTCCTTGTCTGCTTCTTTCATTCGCTTACTTCTCTGCGGTTCATGGCGATTCCAACTCTGCTGCTCAAATTTACGGCAATCAAATCTTGAACTCAGCGCATCAAGATTTTGATTGGTTGGTCTCACTGAGGAGGCAAATCCATGAAAACCCAGAACTCAGTTTCCAAGAACACAACACCAGTGCTCTTATTCGCCGAGAACTCGACAAGCTGGGCATCCATTATTCCTACCCACTTGCCGGAACCGGGATAGTTGCCGAAATTGGGTCTGGTTCTCCACCTGTGGTTGCGCTTCGGGCCGACATGGACGCCCTCCCTTTGCAGGTAATCGTCTTGTACAATCCCCGTTTTACTGATTATTATCTTCTTCTATCTTTGCTCTGTGATCAACGAATACTAGTGAGCTGATTGCAATTTACATTTGCTGAATTAATGGCGAAGGAGCTTGTTGATTGGGAGCATAGGAGCAAAATTGACGGTAGGATGCACGCGTGCGGACATGATGCTCACACAACTATGCTTCTGGGTGCTGCAAAGTTACTTAATCAGCGTAAAGACAAACTCAAGGTCATTGTTCTTCTGTCTCTAGCTATAAGTAAAGCAAATTAGTAAGACAAGACTAAATAGTAATTGAACCAAACTTTGTCTACTTCAAATTTTTAACTGTATGAAGTATATTTGAAGGCGAATAACATTAATTTTAAGTTAATATGCATATGCTAATCAAGGTAGGTACTTTTGTGATTACTGTTGATAGATATAATGTAAATAAGAAATGCAGAATTGAAAAGATGAGTAAGTTTATTCAAATTATTTGTTAAAAATGTAAATTATGGTTAAATTTTACATATCAAATAATTAAGATATCGTAACAAATATAAAGAAGATTAAATTAAACCAAATGCAACTTACAAGTATCATTTTCGTTGTTGTTATGAACGCATTCGCTGTAGCTTTTTCTTGCCTCTTTACATTCTGATTTCATGCATCTATAGGTTTGTTTGTGGGTTTTAATGTAGGCTTTTCAAACTTGAATTGTTTTTCCTTTTAACTAAAGGGAACTGTAAGACTTATCTTCCAACCTGCCGAGGAACGAGGTGCTGGTGCATCTCGGATGATAGAAGAAGGAGCTCTTGGTGATGCTGAAGCAATATTTGCGATGCACATTGATCACGAGTTACCCACTGGAAGCATAGCAATCCTTTCAGGGCCAGTTTCAGCTTCTGTTTCTTCCTTCGAAGCCAGGATAGAAGGAAAAGGTGGTCATGCTGCTGTTCCCCATTCTACTACAGATCCAATACTTGCTGCATCCTTCACAATTTTAGCTCTTCAACAACTCATCTCAAGAGAGGATGATCCCCTTCATAGCCAAGTATGGTTCTATAATCTATCTGTTCATCAAATCAATGCATGATTTAGATACGATGACTTAGTAATTCATTAATTAACTTAGTAAAAAATGTATAAGATCTCCTTTGCTAGACTCAAATTGAGCCTTCATTTATTTGCAGCTTATTTAGAGGTCTTCAATACTCTTTCTTATGAAAGCTTCAATTGTTTATAATCTTAAACTGACCAAAATCACGATCTTGTATAACCCAATTATTCCATGCTTATATCTCAGGATATGTTAACATCATTTGATACTGTTTATGCAAGAATGTGGTCAACGGGCTAATTCTAATAAATTGTTTTGGATCGAAGGTGCTTTCTGTTACTTTTGTTAGAGGTGGGACTGCATTTAATGTCATCTCGCCATATGTGGTGTTTGGGGGCACCTTGAGGAGTCTTACAACTGAGGGAATGCATCAACTCCAACGGAGGTTGAAAGAGGTATATCGGACAATTTCACTTCTATCTTAGAAAAAACTAAAAATTATCATGTGGATTATCATTTTTAGCACATGCATTTTGTTAAATTTAATGTTTTTTTTCTGTTGAGTTTCAATTTTAGTTCAAAAATCTACCGTGAAGTTGTTTCACGGTAGGATACGAAAAACACTATGCAACGTGTATGCATGGATTTCGGACTATCTGATTTGATCGGTTAGTTGACGTAATCTGCTTCAATTTGTATTTCTATATAAAAACAAGCAAGAAATAAAAGAAATGCACTTCTTCTTTCTCCAAAAATATTGTCTTTCAGAAAACAGCAAAATAGAGGCTGTTGCATAACCTTACTCTGTTTTGCTGTCCCTCTCTCTCATCAACTTTCTCTCTCTAAGTTCTCTCATTCACAGAGCCTCCTTTGAAAAACAAGTGGTATCAGAGCCCTTATCTTAAAGGACCAGTAAACCAACATACCCTCGAAAAACCCGATGACATCCACTGGAACCACCCACCCACACTTCAACGGAGAAAACTACCATGTATGGGCAATCAAAATGAGAGCCCATCTGAAAGCCTTAAGTCTGTGGGATGTTATTATGGATGACAGTGATCCTCCTCCACCAGGGGACACTGCCACTCTAAACCAAATCAGAAGGCACGAGGAAGACAAGGCCAAGAAACCAAAGGCAATTGCTTGCCTTTTTTCGGCCGTCTCGCATAGGGTATTTTCAAGAATTATGAACTTCGAATCACTTAAGGCTGCTTGGGAGAAATTTAAGGAAGAGTTTGATGGGGGAGTCAGAAGGAGGAAGGTAAAAATCTTGAGACTAAAGAGTGAGTTTGCATTACTCAAAATGCCGGAAAATGAATCAGTGAAGGATTATGCATCCAAACTCTCGGATGTGATAAACAAAATGAAACTGCTTGGGGAGGATTTTCCAGAATCAAGGGTAGTAGAGCAGATTCTTATCAGCTTGCCCCCCAAATTCAAGTCTAAAATCTCAGCCTTGAAGGAGCTTGCAAACATTGAGTCTATCTCCTCGGCTGAGCTGATAAACAAGCTTCAATCCAGTGAGCAACGGGTAAATATGCATGTTCGACAACATACTGAGGGAGCCTTAATTTCAACTCAGATCAAAGGCAGCTCTTCAACATAAAATCAAGGGAGAAGGAGTGAATGGAATCAAACTAGAAACCAAAATTCCAGCAAACAAAGGAAATATTCTCAGTGCAGTATCTGTTCCTTAACAAATCATTCTGAAAATGAGTGCTGGTACAAGGGAAAGAAAACCATTCGGTGCAATTTCTGCAAAAGGCTTGGTCATAAGGAGAAATTCTGTAGACAGAAACAGAAGTAGGAAGGATCACAGCCAAAGCAGGAACAACATCAAGCCAATGTCACTAAGGTGTCATGTGAGCAAAGTGACACAATTCTCGTTGCGCTAAGTAAGCTGCCATTGGAGGATGATACTCTCTGGGTGGTGGACAGTGGGTGCACCTCCCACGTGTGCAAGGATGAGGGCTTGTTCGTGTCACTTGACAAAACAATCTCAGGCCAGGTCCGACTTGGAAATGGTATGCTGGAAACCATCAAGGGCAAAGGCAACATAGCCATTGAAACCAGGGAAGGTAGGAAGCTTATCACTGATGTGAATTTTGTTCCTACCCTCTCACAGAATCTTCTGAGTGTGAATCAGATGACTGATCGAGGCTACTCAGTCAGATTCAAGGATAACTGCTGCAGGATATATGATCCTGAGGATCGCTTGATCGCTTTCATCCAAAAGAAAGATCAAGTCTACTCCTTGAAGCTTAGAGAAGTAGTCGAGAGGGCCAGTGTTGCCTCTGTAACAGAAGGTGAGATGTGGCACAGGCGCCTTGGGCATTTTCATGCGGCTGGGCTACAACAACTGCAGAAGGGAGGCCTAACCAAGGACTTCCAAAATATTGCAGTCACTGAGTTAGTGTGTGGTGCATGTCAGATGGAAAAAATGGTAAGGAATTCCTTTCCTTCGCAAGCAGATTGGAGAGCAAAAGAGAAGCTAGCACTTATCCATTCTGACATTTGTGGTCCAATGACAGAAAAATCCATGAGTGGATGCAGGTATTTTGGCTTGTTCATAGATGATTTTTCCAAGATGATCTGGGTTTGTTTCCTGTAGAATAAAGCTCAAATTTTTGGTGAATTCAAGAAGTTTAAGGCTATTGTAGAGAAGGAAAGTGGCAGTGTACTGAGGTGCCTAAGGACGGATAATGGCTTTGAATTCAATTCCAGCAAATTCAATGATTTCTGTTCTGAGAATGGGATCAAAAAGCAGCTCACAGCACCATATTCTCCTCAACAGAATGGTGTCTCGGAGAGGAAGAACAGAACCATTGTGGAAATGGCAAGAAGCATGTTTGCTGACAAGCACCTGCCTAAAGCCTTGTGGGCTAAGGCAGTGAACACTGCCGTGTTCCTGCTCAACATGCTGCCTACAAAGGCTGTGAAGCAGATGACACCGGCGGAGGCCTGGAGTGGCATCAAACCATCGACTAAGTATCTAAAGATGTTTGGCTCGGTGTGCTACCGCCATGTCTCGGATGACAGGAGATCCAAACTAGAAGTGAATGCTGAATTGGGAGTATTTGTGGATTACAGTACTGAAGTAAAAACATATCGAATTCTAAGCCTGAAAACCAACAAGCTTATGATTCGAAGAAATGTAACAGTGGACGAAAACAGCTATTGGAATTGGGAGAAGTAGAAAGTCGAACCAGACTGTGTGACAGTGGAAGAAGGAAAGAAATCTATGTCAGTATTAAACCCAACTCAGGCTAAGGAACAAGATGAAGAAGATGAAGAAGGTGAAGCAGAAGGGAGACCAAAAATGAAAAGTTTAGCTGACATCTATGAGAGGTGCAGCTTTGCTTCAAAAGAACCTTCCTCTGTTGAGGAAGCACTTCAGCAGCAAGAGTGGAAACTTGCTATGGAAGAGGAAATCAGGATGATAGAGAAAAACAATACCTGGTCTCTGGTAAAATCAAGTGCAGACAGAAAACCTATGGAGTAAAGTGGGTGTTCAAGGTGAAACTGAATCCGGACGGGACAACAAACAAGCACAAGGCACGGCTTGTGGCAAAAGGGGTACTCCCAGCTTCCAGGAATCGACTACACAGAGACTTTTGCTCCTGTGGCCAGATATGAAACAATTAGACTCATTCTAGCCATGGCAGCTCAGTTTAGCTGGAGTGTGATGCATTTGGATGTGAAATCGGCTTTTTTGAATAGTAAGCTGATGAAGAAATTTATATTGAGCAGCCACCGGGGTTCATTCAACCTAGAAAGGAGAAACATGTCTATCTTCTTCACAAGGCCCTATATGGCCTCAAACAGGCTCCACGAGCCTGGTATGATAAGTTAAATACATACTTACTTCACTGTGGGTTTGAGAAAAGTATGACAGAAACTATACTGTATGTGAATAGAGATGAAGACAGACTTATCACTGCAGTATATATTGATGATATACTGGTGACAGGCAGTAACAAAAGAAAAATGATAGAGTTCAAGCTGAAATTGGAAAAAGAATTCGAGATGTCTGATCTTGGGGAGGCTACCTACTTCCTGGGAATGGAAATTCATCAAAGTAGCTTGGGTATTTTTCTTTCACAAGGCAAGTATGCCAAAGAAATTCTAAATAAATTCAACATGAATCACTGTAAATCAGTGTCTACACCACTGGTGTCCAACCTGAAGTTGTCAAAGGATGAGAAAGGTAGCCAAATTGATGAGGGGAATTACAGAAGTCTGATTGGGAGCCTTCTGTATCTCACGGCTACTAGACCAGACATTCTGTTTGCAGTGAGTTTGCTTTCAAGGTACATGGCCTCACCGAGAGAATCACACTTACAAGCTGCTAAACATGTGCTGAGGTACTTGAAAGGAACCTGGAACTTTGGTGTTCAATTCAAAGCAAGAGCTGAGAGTGGATTGGTCGGTTACAGTGACAGTGATTGAGCAGGAAGCATGGAAGATGCACGTAGTACAACTGGGTACTTGTTTAAACTAGGCTCCGGTGCTTTCTTATGGGCGTTTAAGAAACAGGATACTGTGGCACAGTCCACAGCTGAGGCTGAGTATGTAGCTGCAGCTAACCAAGCAATTTGGTTGAGGAAAGTGTTCAATGATGTAAAGCTGGACAAACAAACATCTACAGTGTTGTATGTAGACAACAAGTCTGCAATTGTCATTGCGAAAAATCTTGTAATGCACGGGAGAACTAAACACATCAATGTTAAGTATCATGCTATACGTGAGGCTGAGAGGAATCAAGAAATCAAGCTGATACATTGCTCCACTGATGATCAACTTGCGGACATTATAACCAATGCCCTGTCTAAAGCTAAATTTGAGAAATTGCGTGGAAAGGTGGGGATTGGTGAAAAAATCATTAAAGGGGAGTGTTAAATTTAATATTTTTTTTCTGTTGAGTTTTAATTTTAGTTCAAAAATCTACCGTGAAGTTGTTTCACGGTAGGATACGAAAAACACCATGCAACGTGTATGCATGAATTTCGGGCTATCTGATTTGATCGGTTAGTTGACGTAATCTGTTTCAATTTGTATTCCTATATAAAAACAAGCAATAAATAAAAAAAATGCACTTTTTTTTTTTCCAAAAATTTTGCCTTTCAGAAAACAGCAAAATAGAGGCTGCTGCATAATCTTGCTCTGTTTTGCTATCCCTCTCTCTCATCAACTTTCTCTCTCTAAGTTCTCTTATTCACAGAGCCTCCTTTGAAGCTTAATTGCTTTCGATCAACACATTTGATCTGGTAACCTTATCTTTCCAATTTTCCATCCAGTTGCTTATCTATCATATTACAGTTCTTCTATTTGCATCATTCTCATAGAAGCTCAGCATCAGCCCCTTTTGTTTATTGAATTCTTGCTCTTCATAGAGTTGCTTTTATGCGTCAATCATTTTGGTTATCTGCCAGTTCCAAACCCATATATGCATTAGCATGCTATTCCTCCGAGTCCATGAAGAGCATTGCATGCTGTAAAGTTAGGTGGCAATTGCTTAATCCTTTTAGTTCATGGAGTCGCTTTTATTCATCAGTTATTTTATGACTCCTTCGCCAATTCCATTATATCATCCCTGTTAGCACACAATTCCTCCAAATCGACAAAGAGCACCACATGTTTCGAAGTTGGTTAACCATAAAGTTGTCATTAAAGCATCAGTTGACATGCACATTTTCTTGGGCGGACATCACCTTCTTAAATACAACTCTTGATAAATCTGACACTTCTCTCGAGTTGTTATTACAAATAAGATTTGTTTTTCATGTTGAAAAGTTAGGCTGGCATGTTTTACACGAGTGTGTTCGTGCAGGTTATTGAAGGACAAGCAGCCGTTCACAGATGTACGGCCTATATTGACATGAAAGAAGAAGATCTTCCATCATATCCTGCACTCGTGAATGATGCAAGCCTGTATTCTCATGTTGAAAATGTCGGTAAGCTCGTGGTTGGTGCTGGGAATGTTAAGGGGGGCAAAAAAGAAATGGCCTCAGAGGACTTTGCATTTTATCAAGAATTGATTCCGGCATTCATGCTTAGCATTGGAATTCGAAACGAAGAACTGGGTTCGATACATTCCCCTCACTCGCCTCACTTTTTTCTCGATGAGAACGTGCTTCCAATCGGGGCTGCATTACACGCTGCTCTCGCTGAGACGTATCTCGACGAGAACCAATGTCAATCCTGTTGAAATCAAAGAGAGATTCCAAAACACCCTCTTGTTCTTCAATGTGCTCCTGGCTTCCTTATAACCAGCTCAAATACTTTAAGCTTGCTTTGTCTTTGGATGACGGCAACGATCCCTGACCCATAACTCGGATTGATAAAGCATGCATTTTGTTTGAATGGAAAATGGCAAAGAAAGAGAAAAAGACATTGAAACTCTGTAAGGTGGGTGAATGAAATAGAATGCCCAAGTTCATGCACCTGTTGACTAATCTGCTTTTAACACAGCAAATTTAGAATTTAATTTCATATTTCATTATTTGAACTGATTGTATATACATACAAATTATAATTTTCGATCAAAGATAATTTATTTATTTTAAACACCTCCTAATATTTTTAGTTTCCAAAATATTTCTATTAACATTTTCAATCTTTGTTCAACTGTTTTTGAACAAATAACCCACTAACTTTCTACAAAGCTCATACAATTTTCTATACACGTCAGTGGCACGTGTAATAGTATTATGGAAGTAGTGTGTATACATATATATATATATATATATAGTTGTATTAATAGATGTAATTAGAATAATCCAGATTCTAATCTAACGCTACAAACCGCCCACAGAGACTAATCTTGATTTGGAATCTCTTAAATAATCACCACAAAACTATTCTACTTTCCTTTTTGGTACTTCTCTCTCTCTCTCTCTCTCTCTCTCTCTCTCTCTCTCTCTCTCTCTCTATATATATATATATATGTGTATATACATATTTTTATATCTGTATACGTATATGTATATGTACATACCTTCTAATCAGCTAGTGATTAACGATTTCATGTTTAATCTTGACTTGTTAAATGTAAACTTATTTGATAAAAAATGAAAAAACAGTTGAATTAATACGTGTTAAAATTTTAAGCTTGTATATAATATATATATATATATATACAAGAGTAATATATTATTTTATGGCAAAAATATAATAAAACTTTTGATAGCCTGAGAAAACCGCAAAGGTAAGAAATTGGAAAAGGCAAAAACAAAAAGGAAAAGTTGGATCTGAACCTGAAAGACAGCAGGCCAAGCAACCCACGTGGTTTCAACTTTCAAACTAACATGCATCTTCATCTTTACACGAAAGACCAATATAATATATATATATATATATATTATATTACTATATAAATATCCTTTTTGAATATAGTTTTCATATCCCTACGTTTCCACCATCCCCAGTAATTATGGAAATAATAAAAATATTAATAGCTCTTAAATTATAAAATTATAACTTTTTAAAAATAATTTATTTAATATATTAACGAATTATTTTAATTTGGTTTTAACAAATTTATTAAATTTATAAATAAAAAAATAGAGTATTAATTCATTAATAACTGCAAAAATTCTACTTGCATACACCAATCATTAATTAATAATTGCTTATTCTATTAACTCTGTATATATATATATATAGAGAGAGAGAGAGAATGTATAGAGAATCAAATAATATTAACAGTTTAATTAACATTTTTTTCTTAGTAATTTAATTTTAATTATCATATCTAAAAGGCATTGGTCGGTCCAAGATGGCCCCTGTGGTTACCTTGGTTAAGGACATAATTATTTATTTTTTAATTATTTCAATTTTAATTCTTATTAATATTACTTAATTTTTTATTATAATAAAATCCAGCTGTCAGTCCTATACACGGTAATAGATTAGTTAATTGGTTTTTGACACGTGTCTCACACTAAACACAGAAATCCACGTCGGAGTCGGTGGGTGGATAATTCATCTTCCTCCTCATCGTCTCTGTATAAATCTGCCAACTCTGTTTCTCATTTCTTCCCCCCCCTCCCACCTCTGAATCCTTGGAGATTTTCAAAGGATTTCAAAAAGAAACCTAATTAATTATAATCAAAACACCTTCTTTCTGCCACTCCATGTGCTCCCCAATCACCCTGTTTTACATCCTCTACCCCACCCCCTCCATAATTGCATAAACTAAACTCTACATGTATATACAGACATACACACACACACATATATATATATATAGCACGGAGAGACAGATATTTATAGAATCAGTCAATTGGTCTGATTTGGTTGATTAGCACTTCATAGAGCAAATGGGTGAAGAAGCTAAGCAGGAGCAGGCGAAGGCAGAGGCGCAGCCGGAGGAGAAACCAGAGGAAAAGAAAGAAGAAAAACCAGAGGAGAAATCAGCGGAGGAATCAAAACCTCCATCTCCATTTGTGCTGTTTGTGGACTTGCATTGTGTTGGTTGTGCCAAGAAGATTGAAAAATCTATCATGAGGATTCGAGGTAAGAAAAAAGAGAAAAAAAAAAAAAAAACAACCTTAACCCAGTTTAGAACAACATTAATTTGATCAAATTGTGTTGGACAGGAGTTGAAGGAGTAGTGACGGACATGGGTAAAAACCAGGTTACTATAAAAGGAGTAGTAGAACCCCAAGCTATCTGCAACAAGATTATGAAGAAAACCAAACGAAGAGCTCAAGTCTTGTCTCCACTTCCACCTGCCGACGGTGAACCCATGCCCCAACTTGTCACCTCACAGGTTTCACTTTCATCAGCTTCAAACATATGAATTCTTTCGTTTTTCGTTTAGAAGAATTCTAATGGTGTTTTACTTTTCAGGTTAGTGGGTTAATCACCTTGGAGCTTAATGTAAATATGCATTGTGAAGCATGTGCCGAGCAACTTAAGAAGAAAATACTTCAAATGAGAGGTAATTGATTAATTTATAATGTATGCATACACGTGTGTGTGTGTGTGTGTGTGTGTGTGTGTGTGTGTGTGTGTGTGTAATTTAAACGCATGTGCATATACATGCAGGTGTTCAAACAGCTACAACAGAGTTTAGCAGTGGGAAGGTGATGGTGACGGGAACCATGGACCCGAACAAGCTCGTAGATTATGTTTACAGACGGACCAAAAAGCAAGCCAGAATCGTCCCGCAACCCGACCCGCCCCAACCCCCCGAAGAAACCAAGAAGGAACCCGATAATCCCCTGGTTGAGGAATCTAAACCCGAAGACAAGAAGGAAGACAACGGAGCTGATCAGAAAAAGGAGGAGGATCCGAAGGCGGCGGCGGCGGCTGCCAACCAGACGGATCCACCTCAAGAGCCAAATAAAGAAGGCGAAGCTCAGGGCGGCGGCAACGGAGGAGGAAATGAAGGCGATAAAGAAGAAAAGAAAGAAGTTGCAGAAGGTGATCCTGCGATTAATGACATATTGCAGAGCAATCTGCATGAAGAGAATATGAAGAGGATGATGTATTATTACCAGTACCAGCCAGTGTACGTGATCGAACGAATCCCTCCAGCTCCTCAGCTCTTCAGCGACGAGAATCCAAATGCTTGCTCGATTTCGTAGTTAAATTGTACTAATTAATTAATTAATTAGTTAATTAATTAATACTTCCTTTAATTAATTAATTAACTAATTAATTATGTACGCCATAATCAATTAATTACTATTATAAGTATAAAAACCATGCATGTAATATACATAATTTTATATACTACGTGTAAATCGTACCACCTTTGTCACATAATTTTAATTAGACACGAGGTTGGTGAGCCCTTAATATAAATATTAACGGGTACGTGCTGTTCATGTTTGATTTAAATCACTGGTTCATCATCATTAATAATATTCTAAAGTGGTTCTGTATATTTGTGGAATATCGTATGATCTCTGCGCGTGTGTATATATATATATATATATATACACACACGTAGAGATTCACATTATTAATGCATGTAATTAAAAATTTAAAGTGAGTCACTAAGACTATATAGATTCAACTCTGTGTATATTTTTCACTAATTAATTATTATTTTATACTAGTATATTTAAATCACAAATTAATGGGCTTATATATAATTTATATATACATACATACATACATATATATATATTCTTCAATTAGAAAGAAACAGAAGTTACTTATTAGGATAATTAGGTTATTTCATTCGTCAGTCACACTGACATGAACTTAGGATATCATGATACTTGTTTTTTTATAGGAAGAGAATGAGTAGAGACTATATATCTATACACCATACGCATACACACTATATATATATATATATGGGTTTGACGTAGACCGAAAGATTCCCTACGAGAAAACCAGAAGCGTGGGATTCACATGTAGACCCAGCTCTACATATAGCCAAATGGAAAGACAACAAAAGAGAGAGACTTTGTTCTCTGCGTCCAAATGATATCATTATTATGAACATATATGTAACTACATATATATGTATGTATGTATGTATGTATGTATGTATGTATGTATGTACTTACTTATATTATTAGTAAAAGGTAATATATTGTAATTTGTCTGTTCTGTCGTGGGATGTTTCCATCATCAATCAGTCCGATCGGATGGCTCCCTCCAAAATAAAGTATCCAAGTTTTTTTCATAAAACAATTATATTACAATATTAATTAATAAAATATATTTAAAAAATTAATATCATATAAACTACAAATTATATTATTTTAATTTTTTTTTTTTTCAAAAGAACTTTATATCTCTTAAAACTAAAGATAATAATATACGGATGAAGCTGACGTGGATTTTCATAAAAAGAAGTTGAATAAAACAAAAACATATACATACATGCATGCATGCATGTGAACCATTCCAACTTCTCTCTCTTTTCAATACATTAAAGTTTCAAATGTCCACAAAAAAAAAAAAAGTTAATGCATGATCTTTACACATGCAATAATAATTAATTTTATATTCGCTCCGTTCATATTAAACTCATAACTTAATTTATTAATATTTTAATAGAGTTGTAATAATTAAATTAAATTAAATTTTAATAATGTAAAATTTTTTATTTTTATTTTTATTTTGATGTGATAGTGTATATTTTAAAAATTAATTTTTTTAATAAAATAGTTTATAAAAAAATATTAAATATGCAACTAATTATGACACGGTAGTGATGGTGATGAAGAAAGCAGATGCAGTGCACTTCCTTCCAAATAAGCAAAAAGACAAACATGATGACACATCTTTTCAACTTATCCAACTCACACTCCACGAGTCCCTCCAAAACTAACAACAACTTCCATGCTCATTCATAGACTTCCCCTTTTTTTAAATTTTCTTAACCACTAATTAATTACCCTAATTAAACACCTAATCTAATTAATTAAATTTCATATTTTAATTAACTTTAACTTGTCATCAGCAACCCAACCAAATTTTCCCCACCAGAGCAAAAAGCCTTGGGAAAAAGTAAGCCATCTAGCGGCGGGTCTTTTTGGAGAGGAATCCTCCAGTTTCATTTTCAAATAAAGGTGGTAAAAATCTTAGTAGATAAGATAAGGTGAGGTATAGAACTTATACATCCTATATATACACACACACACATATATATATATATATAAGAATATCATCCTACCAAATTCTAGCCAAGGGTGAGAACTGTGAAGAGCTAAAATGGCAAACATGCAGATAGTTCCAGCTTATAAGAACGTGGAAGCACAGTTGGTGGAGATGATGGTGCCTTTATACTCTTATGGATGCGAGAAGAAGGTCAAGAAGACTTTATCTCATCTCAAAGGTAAATCTTTACAACTACATTATACATACATACATACATACATACATATACATATATTTAGTGTTTCGGTTGATTTAATTGATTAATTTGTCTTTTACCACCTATAAAAACACAACTCAATTCATACGCAGTGACTGGTTTGTCCTAATTTGATTTGTCAAATTTAATTTTTATAAGCAGTATTTTCAAAATAAAGATTTAAATATATCATGGTTGAAAAATATAATGAGGTTCAAAAAAAATTGGCATTTAGTAATTATTGAGTTCTGTAGCTCAATTGATGAGTTAATCGGCCGACTAACTAAAAACAAAATCCAATTGACTTGACCCGGACCCGGAAAGGAGCTCCGTTTCGTGGGCTTAATTTTAGGCCCATATATAGCAGCCCTGCAGGCCCAATACACCAGTGGTTCAAAATTATAATTTAAATTATTTATATTTAACCCTATAATGTGTGTATATATATATATGTGTCAAGAGAATTGAATATCGTTATTTTGACCTATTTATTTTGATCGCTTTTATATTTATTGGACACATGATTAATTTTCTCTTCGTGGGTGTGTAGGTATATACTCGGTAAATGTGGACTACAACGAGCAAAAAGTGACGGTTTGGGGAATTTGTAACAAACACGATATGTTAAAAACGATGAAAGGAAAAAGAAAAGAAGCTCGTTTTTGGAATCCCGATGATACTACCGAGTTAGAACAAGAACCGAATGGTTCATCATTATCATCCCCACCACTAGTTAAATTATCGAAGCCTTCATTAGCACTTGCTAGAGCTCGTTCCCTTGGTTGGAAAACAATGAAAAAGATCTTCGCTAGATCTTATTCTTTTTGATCGTTCGTGTATTTTTTTTTACTTTTTAATTTCTTCGTTTTTAATATTAAAAGAGTTAAAATAATTAAAATTTTGTATTAAAAAAAATTTATTAAATCTTATATTATTAAAAAACAAATTTGAGACTATTTTAAGAGGTTAGCCAAAAGTTGAAAGTTTGGCCGGCATGAAATGTGTCATGGAATTCAACTTAGAAGGTTGTGCACGTTATTCCAACTATGGATTATGTTTAGGTAAAATATAAATCGTACCCAAAAGTCATACATACATTAATTTAATATATAAAATATATATATATATTATTCATTGATTTAAATTAAGAACTTAATTCACCAAGAAGTATATATTAATTAGAAAATTCACTATGGTATGTTATTTTTCTATTATATGAACTTATAGGAGGAATTTTAGTCAATTTACCCTAAAAATTACCGTAGTTAAGTAATTTACCAATATATCTATTTACCACATATATGTATGTAGATGTGAATATGCACGCATAAATTTCCTTCCTACTTCCTTAAGATGCAATCTATCTTCATCAATTGGTCAAGGTTTTCATAAACAGCCGAAAGAAAAAGTAACCCAATTTTTATTTTCTGATTTTATGACTTTCATACATAATTTATGAATAAATATCAATTAATTAGAATATATATATATATATAATTATGCCCCCATTTTTATTAAATTTAAATTCAATTATTAAAGTAGTTTTTAGTACGTAGAATTATGTAATAACTGTTACCTTCGGAACACTTTAGTAATTTAAAAATATTTTTGAATTTTCAATTAATTACAATAAATAATATACAATGCATAATCATAATTAACGATGCATAAAACTACATATCATGTAATAATTAATTAACGTTTAAGTAAAAATTAAAATTGAAACTAATAAATTAGAGGGTTTTAATGACATGTGGCCCCCACTAGACTTAAAGAGCAATGATAAGATGTAGAAGTGCGAAGATCACATCGGGATTGTGTATGCTAATTGCCAAAAATTCCCCACTCCAACCCATCTAAATACTAATTATAATTACAGTATTTTTACTGTATACATATATATATATATAATATATATAATAGCCTAAAAATAAAATAAATTTAATATTTTAATAAAGAGGTGTATAAAGTATTTTATAATATAGTTTTTACATAACTAATATGTACCATACCCATAGTTTATAAATATGCATATTTAATTGTTTAGAAGTCTAATATTTTATTATTTTATTTATTAACTATTACTAATCAATTAAGATAGATTTTTAAATAGATTATTCTTTAGTGTGTGTATATATATAATAAATAACGGGAGTTTTTTGTTTTATATAATATATATATTTATATAATAAATGAAAATTATTAAAATAATGATTTTTTACTACTAATAATTATTTGGTAGAAAGATAATTAAAAATAATAATAATAATAATTGAGAGGGGTGAATATTTCCCAAAAAGTCAGGTGTGTATGGATGAGATTAAGATGGTGAATGCTTATAAATTTGGCTGCATTTCCTTCGCCCACAACACGCAATCCCCCTCACCAACATTTCCCCCTTACATATACATATACATACACATATTCATACACATATTCATACACATGTACGTGTATATATGTATACACCCGCATCTCAGTAAAGATTAACCGGCGAAGGCAACTGAAGAAAGTATGATAAGGGTGACGGTCATGGCGGAGCTACTGGAAGAATACACGGCGGCTCTTGCAAGAGTTACGCAAAGATTTCTAGCATCTCAAAGACGCCGGGACAGAACTCATCTTCTTCGTTTTGCTGCTTCTTCTCCGCCCATTTTTTCTCGACCTCCTCCTTCCGATCGCTCTTCTTTCATTGTTTATTTCTGATACATATCGAACTTACCATCTTCCTCCACACCGTTCACCTACTTTTTCTCTTTTTTCTTGGATGATGTTTATGTTAGAAGGTGGACTTTCTCTTTCTGGGTATTTCAATATTTTCATTGGTTTATAGACAAATAGAAGAAAAGAAATCTGGGTTCTTCTTGAATTTGTGTTATAAGTATATAGACTGGAATAGTATGTGGTGTAAAAAAAGGACCTTTGAGATTTCATGTACTGAGTGTAATGTCCCTACAAGTAACATGAGCTTTCTTTCTTCTGTAGTTATGGTTGAGATAGTTTTGTTTCTTATCTTTTCATTTATGGCTTTTAAGCAATTAATAGATTATAAAATTTATTCTCCATGAAATCACTTCAAAATAAAAATATATATATATACTGTCCAATTTTATATTTATAATTCTAATTTTAGTGGGTTAAGGTTAGATTTATGGTTTTAAGTAAGAATTTAGAAATATTTTTGTTCTACATTTTTAATTATAATCAAATATATTAAATTTACTTTAAAAATTTAAACAAATAAAAAAGAATCATTCAAAATAAATATATTTTTATCGACTTCGTTTCTATCGTTAATAGTATTTAAAATGAGATAATAATTATAATAAATTATTATTTTTATATTATATAAATTTTGATTTGAAATTTGAAATTCGAAATTTTAAATTTGAATTGAAATTTATGTTTATTTTCATAATTAAGTAAATGAAATGACATATAAAATAATATATAACTGTTATAAAAAGAAAAAGTATTTTGATAAAGTGAGACAGATAATTAAGAATTTTATGAAGAAATTTTTCAGTCATATCATGATTGCTGACTGCATTATTTTCGAATGGTACTTAACTCTAACTTATTTTTTTATTTTTTTTTAAGATTTGTTAAATTTAATAAAAAATTACTTACGTGTCAAATTATTTTTTGATAAAATAAATTAATTCTTAATATAATTAAATTTACTTTATGTTATTCATAAACTCACTATCATCGATGAATTCGTATTGAATAATATTATTATACCATTATAAAAAATTATAAATTCAAAGAAGATACAAATATATCACCAACATAATATATATATTTTTTACTAATATTTCAATATTTTACTTATATACAAAAATAACGAGTAGAATATTATCGTTTGTATTTACATAAAATTTAATACTATATTTTATATATATAAAAAAAACATCATTTAGCTTCTAAAAATTGAATTCTCAAATCCATATAATGTAATGATTGAAGATCCATGTTCATTCAATCCGAAAAATAAGAATTATCTTTCAAACAAAATATTTCAAAAAATAATTTTATTTTACAATTTTATAATAAACCGAATCTAAGGGATCAAATTTTATACGCAAGTTTTTAGATACATACAATAAGAAATTTTTAATATATTTTTTTAAAAAAAAAAAAAAAAGCACGAGCATTTTCTAGCAATTTAACATAAGTACAAGGGCATACTTGCAAATAATATAATTTTTTTTTTTTAATTGGAAGTAAAAATCCCAATCCAGTATCTTTTATCTCAACATCTGATAATCAAACATACCTGAAAATCCGAGAAGACCGACTCTCTCAGGAGTTTGTTTGGGTTGGTTGGCAGGTCGTAGAGTCACTGTGGATCACTCTTCTGGTATGCTTAACAATCAAGATTCTCCTCTATGATTCTCTCTTATCCAGCCCGATTATCAAGAACATCTTTTATATTTATATATATATATATATAATTTCTTTCTATTTGATCAACTCCGTTATTGAGCGTTCTTTATTAGCACGATTATCGTATTCGATTAGGACTTTTAGAGTTAACCCAGATAAAGAGATGATATAAATTTTTCTGGGTTCCGAACGATTGATTGAATTTAGTATCATGAACTTTTAGGGGAAATGAGATGATGGATTTTGTGCCTTATGCAAATGGAAGTGATGGAAGTTCTTCCTCATTGTCTTCCTCTAATTTATCACCTTTAGCTCCGCCTTTCTTTGCAGTAGATTGGTCTGTTCAGAACCCCTTATCATTCAAACTTGCAGGTTACGGTGTACCCCCTTTTAATCCATCTTTGAATTCATCTCGGCGCAACTGGATGAGTTCTCGGGTTTCCAATCCCTTTCCTGAATTTGATACTGTTCCCCCGAATAGCTATAGATACTCGGCTGCTCATCGGACTCCGCCACCTCATGCTCCTCCTATGAGCCCATATGTGTCGGCTTCAACAGATGTTTTCTCTTATGGCACTCAACGTTCCAATGCCATGGCTAGTGATTTTACAGATGCCAAACCCTACTATCCATCATATGTCCCAACTACCTTCCCTGGATTTTATGATGCATTGTCTCCTCCAAATATCCCTTTTTTCAAGGGGTTATCCAACAATGACTCTACTCCAAGCTTCGCCACTTTGCCTCATACAGGTAGTTGGAGTGGCATCTGGAATGGATTGCCAGGTCTGGAGCAGGGGCAGGGACTGAAACTTGCTGGGAGTTCTGGATCCAGGGAGGTCAATCCTGCTGCTACATCTGTTTACAAGGACCATTTGGACTTAGGTACATCTAACTTCTTTATAAAGCATAAATGTTCATATATAAGTTTATGGGTTTTGTTTGTGATTACTTTCATGGATGATGTTTAATATTCTCTTTGCTTATATTGATTGCTTCATCATCTTTATGCCAATTTTGTCCCTGGAGTGCTTGTTAGTTAATTAGTTCCATCAACCTCTCTCGTATCCGAGTGGGTATGGCTTGTGCATTAGGATGGTATTTCGTACTTCTGCTATAACTTCTGATTTTGACTAAAAAATAACCCAAACATTCTATATTTTGAATCGTTGAACACATATACCACCATCACCCTCTATAATTTGTAACTGATTGGTACCACTAAATTTTTTCTCTATTAACTATCTGTAAATAAATAAATTGCCAATCTTCATTACCCTCATTCTTTTAAAGTCACGTCCAATGCAAGAATGGAAAGAAGGTCTCGACTGACAGAGTATCAGTTGACATGTAAACTGAAAGGCATTCATGGAGAGACTTTCAGAATTCTGCCTCCTAAATGATTTTCAAAAAATTAGGCTTCACTTTCACCCAAACCACTCCGGTGTATTTTATTATGTTTTTTCCATTGTATTTCATTACTTTTTTCACTTATTCTTTTTGTCTTTCTTAAAGATTGTTTATAAACGGTAAATTTAATGGAGAAATCAAAAGAAAAATTTAAGTTTGTGTAAGATTATTAGCCAATACTGTGCAGGGGCTTATGCATCCAATGGCCTAAACAACTATGGAGAAACTTCTCACGGTGGCCATCTTAGTGAAAACCCTATCGAGTGTGCTATTCCTGGACATCAAGATTTTAAGTCTGTCCCAGAGAAAAGGACTGGGTTGATGGCTTTTGATTATTTGAAAACCCCAATTTCAGGATCTGCTTCAGTACTTCCTGAAAGCTGTCCATTGGAACCATCTCTAAAACAAATTGATTCCAGGGTCAATCAAGTCACATACAGTGGTTCATATGAGAAAGGTATGAAACATCCGGGCAATAATCCAAACAATAGCATCCTGTCAATGAAGTTTGCCCCTGGGCTGGTGCCGCCAGGTAGTGCCACCTGTTCCTCAGAACCAATAGAAAAGATAAGTTCGGTTAAAAATGGAAATGGCGGCAGTGACAAAGTTTATATGAATTTTGCTTGTGATCAACATAATTGGAAGGAATCTTTTAGTTCTCCAAGCTTTGAGGAAAAATATTTTTTTCCTTCAAGCCAGCATTGCATTCAATTGGAAGGAACTGATCGCATCTTTGCCAAAAGTCCCTCAACAGACAATGACCTGCAAGAAAGAAGCATTTGCAAGGATGCATTGGATCATTTCTTTGGAGAAACATCTGGCTTTCAAGATTCTAATATTTGTACTGATGAGTTGGCTTGGGCACTTGATGATGATAAAACCATCAATCGAGATGAAAATCCTTCCAAACATTTAGATCATTATATCCCTCATTTGGATTCACCGTGCTGGAAAGGAGCTCCTGTTCCTCACTATAGATCACTTGACGTTCTTGAACTTTCTACTTTACAGCTTACAAAAAAGCTAGAAGGTTCCAACAGCTACAATCACCAAGGTCCCCCATTTTGTCCTCTTAATATTGATGATGCTGCAAAAACCTCCTCACTGAATCCAAGTGAAGATTCTGTTGCCCATAAAAGTAAGTGTCTGTACAACAGTTTAGCATCTCCTTCAAATAGACCTTCGACTTCTAGTTTTTCATCTAGAGAACATGGACCGAATGATGCTATGAAAGTGGGATCCAACCAGGCAGAACCAAGCTCTATTTTTGTGACTCAATCTTCTGATGATGTTGAACTGAGTAAATGTGATACCCTACCCAACAAGTCATTCAATGAAGATAATTTGCAGCCTTCTTGGATATTCCAAGAGAATTCAGAAGAAGGTAAATTGTGGCGTTAAGGTCTACATTCACAATTTTTCCTTTTCGTGTAGATAGAATCACGGAGTTGGAATTAGTTCATTACTTGGTATTGAATTTTTACTAGTATAGCCCTTTTCAGTCTGCTGCTGCAGATTTCTCTTTGATACTTCTTTCTGTCAAAATCAATTCTGTCCCCTAAAATAAGATTTATTTTACTGGAGTTAAAAATTTTATTTCATAACGGTTCAGTATTTTGCCTTACATTAAATATTATTGTCTTGAGGGTCAACGTATGTTTAATCCTCAGATGTCAAAGGTAGCTGCAGCTTGTGTTCCGGGTAAGTTCCACAAACAGAGTTCCCAGGAGGTAAAAAATCATCATGGTGTTTCTGCTGATGCAGAAGAGGTGAAAAATGATAACATGACCCAGGTGCTTATTACTTTGGTTTTTCTTTTTTCTTTTTTATTGATTATATATCAATATTTCCTCTTTCTGGAAGCAGAAAGGTCATATAACGGATCATAATAATTTTCAGGCTATAAAGAAAGTTCTTATTGAAAATTTTCCTGATGAAGAGGAAACTCATCCTCAAGTTCTTCTCTATAAGAATCTTTGGCTGGAGGCGGAAGCTGCGTTATGTTCTATCACTTACATGGCTCGCTTTACTCGAATGAAGACAGAGATGGAAAAAGGACAATTGCAAATGACAGAAGGTTGCAACCTTAAGCAAAATCGTTATTCAATCCATTTTGTTTCAATTAAAATCTTAAAACTTTACTGCAAAATCCTGCTATATAACTTGCATTTAATGTTGTCCTGTTCAAAATTTTCAGAAAAGTCTACAGATGCAGAGTCACCATCAAGGTCTAAGCTACCTCCTGGTTCAAACACATTTGAAAATTTAGAAGCTGTTGTGAGGTGTAGCAGGGCTGCTGATTCTTCTGTTCAGGATTCTGTTGCCATAGGTGCAGGCAGCCAGATGACAGATCTTATGACTGGATTTAAGGTTCACGAATCGATGTCCATGAATGCCATTGAAGAAGGCAAGTTAATAATCTCAAAGGACTCCCCTGAGCCAGACTTGGTTGGAAAATCAGAGCCTAGGGACAGAGCTGGCATCAACTTAGATTTTAATGATTTCTTAAAACTCCAGATTAACAGCCCAAATTCTGTGGATGATGTAGACACAGAAAACGACTCATGGTCCAAAGTTTCTTCTGACTTGGACAAGGTTGAAAATCTTTCGACTGAGAAAATTAAGGGTAGTCCCACTGCAGATATCATCCAGGATTTCCCTGTTTCAAGCAGAACCAGTCAATTGGATGATGTTGATGCTCTGGCTATGGCTAGATTCAATATCCTGAAGCTCCGCGATGAAACTTCAAGTTCCATTAATGCGGAACAGCAACAAATGCAAGAAGGTCCTGGCCCGAGTTTTGCATGTGACATAACACATTGGTCAATCTTCAAGTGTCTCGAGGAGGAAAAAGTTAAGGACAGAGAAGAAGGGCAAACTTCTGAAAGAAGAACGCAACCTGTCTCCGAAAGTGAAGTTGCCAACTATCTTGAGGATGAGTTAACCGTGAAAGAGTTCTATCTTCATGTTAAGGACGACGCCATGGTCCAACCTTACAGAACCAACATGTTGGGGAGTCAAGTTTCTTCTTGTCCAGGGATTTATGATGGCTCTTCATCTGATTGGGAGCATGTGTAGAAGGAGGTAGTTACCAGACTTTGGGAAAACTCAATAAGGGATTATCTTGTCCAGAAACTTGTTTTTCCATAGACTTGTTTAACCATTTTGCTACTTATTTGAATTGGCTGAAACGTTATCTGATTATTTTAGTCCCTTTTTTCCATTACTTGTTAGCTTTTGATGTTGGTGGCTGATCCATTGTGCTTACACGCACACACACACAAATCATAACCATGTTTGCGATATCATCTGAAAATTATCAACCATATTCAGTTGTTGATTGATAGTTTCTGTATAATTTGTCAGACAATTTTTAGGGATGAACCAGAAACCAACTTGGGTTAGATATATTGATATATTTTCAATCAGTTTGTTGGATTTCCTAAATTGACCTTGTACCCAAATCTTGGATTTTCCTGGATGGATTCAATTTCAATTGTTAGGGTATGCCAAGTCAAGATGCTGATGCATCAGCATTCTTTGTTAAATATTTGGAAATACATGTACCAGAAAGACTATCAGGTGAAACCACTCTTATACATAATATAAAAATTTCACATACTTTCAACGCAGAAATTAATTGATCCGATTCACCTCCAAACAACTCCTGAGATGATTGGATTTATTTGGAAGCTACAGTGGCCTGAGGTTGACTCGAACATCCTGCTTATATCCAACTCCCCCACCGTAAATTCTGCTGGTTTTGGGACTATGTAGTAGTGTGTTTTATATAACATCAAATTGTCATCAAATCGACTCTGCCAATCAAAAGAGACGTTACCAAGTAACTTTTACTTAATAAGGTGATAAATATATATATATATATACACAACAAGTATAATACAATAGAAATAACCTCAAAACAAGAACACATACAGAAATGGAATCTAATTCAAACCTACTTTATTATAAAGAAAAAAAATGTACTAACCTGCTGACTTCTTATAGAATAAATAATAATATGTTAACTGCTTAATTAAACACTAATTAATAATTACCAATCAAATTTAATGCTCTAGTCACTAACAACAATCTAGAAGACTATATATTTCCCTACTAAATCAAATTGACTTATTAAGGTGATCTCTAAATTTTAAGTGGGACACTCAATTCCATAAATTAATGCCTAAATTCAACTATAAATTTGCGTAATAGCAGTTTGATCATGGGTTAAGGTAAACATTGGGAAGTGATTAACCAAGTTAGAATTGAAGGGTACCAATTCAAAAGAATGAGTGGGAAGAAGAGTAACAATGGAGCAGTGGTAACTTTGGCTGCTATTGTGATAATTTGTAGCCTACAAAATGTTTTGAGTCAGCTCAGGGTTGGATTCTATCAAAATTCATGTGGCCGAGTCGAGTTTATCGTTAAGGATGAAGTTCAAAGAGCATTTGTTAAGGACAAAGGAATAGCAGCTGGACTCGTTAGAATGCACTTTCATGATTGTTTTGTTAGAGTAAGTACTTTCGAGACAAATAAGTTTTTCGCTCTCAACCTTGTAGTTGAAAATTTAGATCTTCTTGGTTTTTAACGATCTTTGTTGTATGATTAAATCAGGGCTGCGATGGCTCGGTGCTTATCGACTCGACTTCTACGAACAAGGCAGAGAAAGACTCACCTGTCAATAATCCGAGTCTTCGAGGAATTGAAGTCATAGATAGTGTCAAGACTAGACTTGAAGCTGTTTGTCGAGGAGTTGTTTCATGTGCTGATATTATTGCTTTCGCCGCAAGAGATAGTATCCAGATTGTAAGAACTATTTTTTACTTAATACTCTCTGAATTATAATTTTCTTTGTTTTTATTTACTAATTGTTGTATAAATCAATTTTTATATCGTTTTCTTTGGTGTAGACAGGAGGGCCTGTTTATGATGTTCCAGCGGGAAGAAGAGACGGCAGGATTTCTGTAGCTTCAGAAACACGAATCTTACCTCCCCCAACTTTTAACCTTAATCAACTCACTCAACTCTTTGCCAGCAAGGGTTTCACCCAGGAAGAAATGGTTACTCTCTCTGGTAATTACTACATGCAGTGTATACATACATGTATATGTTTTAAATACGTATCTGAGGTAATATATACATGTGTTATACAGGAGCGCACACCATAGGGCGAGCTCACTGCACATCATTCAGTGCCAGACTTTACAATTTCAGCGGCACGAATAAGCAGGACCCGAGTCTGGACACAATTTACGCAGCTCAATTGAAGAAGCAGTGTCCGCAAAAGAGCACCAATCCAAACGTGGTGGTAAACATGAACCCAGCTACCCCGGTAGTGACCGACACAGCCTACTACGCGGATGTGCTGGCAAACCGGAGCTTGTTCACCTCAGATGCTACGCTGCTCACAAGCCCTGCAACAGCAACTCAAGTCCACCAAAATGCCAGGAACGCCCTGCTTTGGAGGACGAAATTTGCAGCGGCAATGGTCAAGATGGGCCAGCTTGATATCTTGACGGGGGCCGCAGGAGAGATTCGAGCACATTGCAGAGTGGTGAACGGCTAGTTAGAGAGTAGAGAGAACGGGGAGATCCAACCCACTGGGTTTTATTTAAAATGGTAATGACTAGTATTCTGTAATAGGAAAAGGAGAATAAAATACATAAATACACACATCAATATATATATACATATCATCAGATCTTTCTCTGCCAACTTTAGTTAGTGATTCCGGTTCCTTCATGACAAGATAGAACACGAAAATGATGGAACCCTTGCATCATCACAAAACCCTAGTGAAATGTTGAATAATTAATTGCCCGTGAAGTATCGAAGCACAAAGTCAGGAAATTAAAAATGACAAGGATTACTCATCAACCGAAAATAACCTAACTATGGTGACTCAATTTTTGAGATTAGTTCAAAAAATTCATGCATCTGCAGAACAGCATGAGAGCTCCCTAAGTAGTAAGTTCCATGATGGCACTAACAATATCTCCATCGTGATTCTTGAGAGCCCTTACAGCCTTGCTTCTCGAAACGCCTGCCTGTGTCATAACCAAATCAACATCACGAGGCTCCACGCCAGTTTCGTCAAATTCCTCCTCTTCCTCATCGGCTTGTCCAGCAGCAGCACCAGAAGCATCTGATTTTGGGAGAGAAGATCCCATGTCTGGCATCCTGAACTGCTGAGCAGCCTGCGTCTGCAGCTGAGAACTCAGGTCCTCTATCTTAGCCTCTCCAAATATGATATAAGTCTCGGAATGTGGGCTCTTGAAGACATCGGGTTTTGAAATGAAAAACAAGATCTACAGGTCCAGGAAATCACCTTAGTTCTTGCAAGATAAAACATTCAGGTAAGCCATAAAAAATATCATATCAAAACCGAAGCCTAACGTTTTTTGTTCTCTTAATTGTCACCCTGCTAACGCCAGTGACAGGTTTCATGCCAAGCTTCAACATTGCCTTCCGACTTTTTTTCTCACTTCTGCTCTGCTTCGAACTCCCATTTGCACCTGTACCCAATTTGTCGAGTAAAAAGACAGCTCGAAACAAAACATAAAAGGTGGCAATTGCAACTAAAAATGGCAACAAGACTACTTTTCAAAGCATGTATTTGGAAAAAAAGACAGAAACACAAAATATATCATTTCTCATGTGTTAGAATATATGAACTTCAAATTACAAAACAGTTGATGATTGCAGTGTCTGTGGCGAAACAAGTCCGAAAAATCACACATCCTCTGTTATCATGACTGAAAATGAACTAAAGAAATAACGAGAGAAAAACTTGGAAGAATTTACTTCTCCAAAAAACCCTGTTAGGACTGACACATTAAAATTGCTACAAACAAGTTGAAATACATCCAATTCAACCAATGAAATCTATGCAGCTAAAGAAAAACCCCCAAGACGAGCCATAGCATGATGACTTATTTGAAGATATGAAGCTTAAAGATAGCAAAAGGCAAGGCAGAACCTTAATTCTCGCAAATAAGATAACTTTCAATTCGATAACAGTTCTTATGTCCATAAGCAAGTGAATTTCCATAATGCTGCAGCTCCTAAGCAATGAAGTTAAACAATAACCAAAGCGCAAAAAAAAAAAAAAAAAAATCCATGTTCACCACACTCTTTTCAGAAACAAAATTTAAACCCAAATTCCTTCTTGACCTAATAGCAAACGTGATAAGTTTCTAGTTAATTTTCCAGGAAAATGCCCTAACAAATTGACAGTAAACCCAGTGAAATAACATCAACATCCAGATAGATCCAGAGGAACCTATGTTCTGCCGTATACAAGAATCAGATAATCATTCTAAAAAAAATTATATGAAGAGACAACGTACAATACCCATAACGAACAAGACAATCGAAGCAAAAACCTAAAATGTAAAGGGGAAAGGAAGGACCTTGTGCTCCATCTACTTTCTCGTCGTCATCTTCATCGTCGTCATCTTCGTCGTCATCCTCGTCCTTATCGTCGTCCTTTACGTCCTCAACCACGGGTTCATCGCTCTGCAAGTCATTTCGCGGACAAAACCATCAGACAATAAAAAAAACATGTTTTAATACATTTAAAAAAAAAAAAAAAAACAGAAACCATCATGCATGCAATACCAGATGCTGAGGTTTCTTCTCCGGCTCGTCTGTGATAGGAATCTGAAGGTCGGCGGCTTCAACAGCTGGAGCGGGCGACATGGCTGAGTTCTAAGGTTCGTTGTGTAGAGGGATAATAAATGGAGAGTGAGAAAGAGTTGGCGTGGAGTTCGGCGATGATAAGGAATTAAGGGTTTCTGATTTTATATTGGACTTGTTCTGGATTCTTTCATCCTCCATTGTTGGGTCTGGTTTTGAACCCCGTTATTATAGAGCCCGTGAACGAAGAAGGCTTAAAAGGCTAAAGCTTTCTTCTCCCTTGTAATAGACTGAAGCCCGTTATTATATTTGACTGCAGTCCAATTAAAATTTTAATTATAAAATAATAATAAATTATACATTAATTGCTGTGTGTATTTTAACTATAATCAATTATTTTGTGTGCAAGAATCCCTCAGTTTTTAGGTGCAATTTTTATTTTTTATATATAATAATCTCAATTAAATTGTGTAAAATTTCAATTAAAACTACATTTTTAATTAGTTAATATCACATATTTATAAATAAGATATTACAGTTTCAATCATATTCACAATTTATATAAAATAAAAGATATTAGAAAACTTTTTCAAATTAAATCATGATATGATAAATCTAAACATGCAAGAAGATTTGATTGCTTCATAGGTTAGATGCTTCTGAATCAACACACAATCTCAAAAATTATTTTTTTTTAGTGACTGAATTTTAAAAAAATAAAATGACGCGCGTGTGATTCGAGAATTATAAATGCCTATTTATATCGACATACTTTTGCATTTCTCATTTTATTCATCAAAAAATAAAAAATTATAAAAATGATGTCCGCACATATTAAGCATATATCTAAGTCCCATGCATTAATACTCAATTCAATTTAACCGTATTCGATCATTTTAAACCGGGTTTATAAATAAATAGCATGTTATGTAATACCCACCTAAAATTTCTTTTTTTTTTAATTAATAAATATAATTTTTTAATTATTTTATTTGTATATTATTTTATTTTAATTTAATGGAAAAAAATTAAATAAATTGATAAAAGATTAAATTGAAAATAATTTTGGGAAAAAATAGTGAAATTTTAGATTCTGATGATATTTTTTAAAGAAAAATCAGAAACTGAGAGTCAAAATGTAATTTAAAAAAATTGCACTACGTCAAACGCCCGATCAGCAGCCCCGACCAACCAGGATATGCCAAGTGGCAGAAGTGCTGACGCGGGAGGCCATGTGGGCGATCTACGTGTGCGCGATCGAACAACTGAGGTTCGTTCCCACGCGCACGAGCTCACGAACGGCTCAGATTGAATCACAATGAACAATTCAGATTCACTCTATATTTAATCATAATCGGACGGTCCATATTAAAAGTAATTGACGGTTCATATCAAAAGCGTATGGGTATGAATAACCTCATACGCACCCAAACCCAAACCCTAGCAAAGAAGACAACCCAGTTGCCGGGGAGCCGACCGCCACTACCCACCGCAGCACCGAAACCTTTTCCGATCGCGAAAAAAAGGTAAAAAAATTTTTTTTACATTTTTTTCGCGATCGGAAAAGGTTTGCACGAAATCCAAATTTAAACCCACCCATGGCTAAATCAGAGTGAAAGAACCAGCCAATTGGCCGGAAAAGACTGCTAAAGCCCGCCGCTGCTGCCGCGGAGAATTTCACAAACCATCTCCGATGAGACCCTTTCCGATTCTCGTTTCGCGTAATTTTTTCACCGTTGTGATCACCGTTTTCTTTTCTACAGGTTGACCGAAGTGAAACACCCAACCGCAACATGAGCCAGATGAGCTGCTGCACCAGATAGTTTTGATTTTTCCTATTTTTTCGGCTCACCGAGGCTCTTTAGTTTGTGTGCTCGCAGGAATCGATATAAAATCTGTAACGGCCCCGGAAATATTAAAATGAAATGAGTATTTAAATATATCAAATGCGGAAGCGAGATCAAAATTTCAGTTAACATCCCTTACACGAAAACCAAAAACGTACTTAAATTATAAAAGGTTAAACTAACTAAAAGAGAAACTCGAAAACAAAGCTATGAGCATGACTACAGAGTCTCTAGGCATCCCTTTCGTCGTCCTCCTGCGGAACGGGCTCGGGAACCATGTCTTCCTGATCTGAAATGGTTAAATAAGGAGTGAGCTACACTAACCCAGTAAGAACATCACGATATCTCACCGTCACGGAGGTAAAGGTGGGTAGAAAACACAAAAAGACCAATGGAGCATAATTTACAATAAACTTGCTTATTAACATAAAAACCTTTACCATCCACTTACCTCGGTGGAATTTATGAAAACAATATAAGAAAACAATAACATTATCATAATCATGGAATAATATAAGCTGTAAAACATAACACTTATCACGCCTCTTGTAATTCAATCATTGTACAACATATCTTTTTCTCATTTACCAGCCTACTAGTATCCGTGGGGGTCCATAGGGGTCCCGCTACCCATTAACCTTTAACATTCATAATCAGTTTCCAGGACCGTCCCCATACCCCGTCCGGTATGGGCGCCAAAACCATAAACCTCAATACCCCGTCCGGTATGAGGGTGAAACGGGCCGTCCCCATACCCCGTCCGGTATGGGCGCCAAAACCATAAGATCTCCATACCCCGTCCGGCATGTGAGACCACAATTCCGGTAGGGTTCCCTACGGACCCGGTCCGTCCACCATCTCCCAGGATATCTAGTTAGGCTGACCCCCATAATACAATTATCAGTCTACACAATCTTTCATTTTTCTTTTCCTCAGTCAGCATCATCAATTCACATTTAAACAAGCAAATCGTAATTCATGCCAAACAGACAACATACAGTATCAGTTTTTCAGTCATTCAATCCATAATTAATAAAAACGTAGTATATGCACACAAATCTGTAAAATGAACACATCACACCTCATTTTGCATTTAAAGCTGTAAACAGGTCAAATAACAGTAAATCACCAATCACACTAGACTCGGGCTCCATTAGCCACCTTAAGCAATTTCACACATTCGTTAATTCAAGAAATACCGTTTTATCATTTTGAACTTTAATACCGTGATAGGAAATAGGGTGAGGGGTCCTTACTCGTTTCGGGGTCCGAACACGGCTTCACAGTGCGCTTGCAGGCTGTCCCTAATTTTCCCTGAATTTTCCTCGGGGAACTGAAACGCACTACTGGTACCTGCACGTGTTCAAAAAAAAACCCAAATTAGGCCCAGGGCCTCTTTCGGCCCAAATCACAACTCCGGCACGGCGGCTCCGCCGTGCTCCGGCGATGGCGCCGCCGCTGGCGGCGGCGAGTCGCCTCGAGTTAGCTGTTTTCAGCCGTTTTTGGCCGAATTCGGCCACACTCGCATCAGTCCCTGTGAGAAAACAACCCTAGGGCCCTCGGGGGGCCAAAAAATCACGGAAAAATGGAGCTTACCGGCGGCGGCGCTCTCGGGTGCGGCGGCTCTCCGGCGAGGTTCGTATTTTGGTGATTCGGCTCCGGTCAACCTGTAGAGAAAAGAATGGTGATCACGGTGATATAAAAATTGCATCAAACGGAGGCCGGGAAGGGCCTCATCGGAGGTAAAAACTGAGAAGGGGCGCGGCGGCGCCGCTGGGCTTCGGCCGCGTATTCCGGCCGTTTGGCCGAGATTTTGGCTCCGATTTGACCACAGGAGGAATCAGCGTGGAAAAACGAGTCGGGGGTACGAAATTTACCTCGATCGGCGGTCGGAAATTCCTTCGGTACGGCGGCGGGTGGCGGCGGCCGGCTTCTGGTTCGTCTTCTCCGGCGAGCGGCAGGCGGCTAGGGTTTGTGGTCTGGTGTGGGGGTTCTCTTTATAACCTCTTGCCCTTTGATCTCAGCCGTCCATTTTGATTTAATCTGGGCCGTCCGTTTTTGATTAAATTTGGGCCGTCCGTGTGATTAGATCTGGGTCGTCCGATCGTCCGCCTGATCTGGGCCGTCCAATCGCGCCCACGCGGATTGCCAACGTGGCCCTTTCTGGAACGACGTGGTATTGTCACGTGGCATGTCCTGGTTGGCCGGGACTGCTGACCGGGCCTGCTGACGTGGCTGCTGATGTGGCTTTTTTTTTTTTCCTCCTCCTTTCCGGGTGCTACAAAATCGACCAAATTCAACCAAAAACAGTCGATCCGAGGCGGACCGCCACCCCGAGTGGCGGCGCCCTCCCCGAAACAGGGCGGAGCCGCGTGCTGGATTTCTGAAATTAGCCGAATAGACCCGGAGATTAATTTTTGGGTTTATTTAGGACATTTGTAAGTACTATAAGCACGTTTCAATTTCCGAATAAAAATTTATGGAACCCAATAACCGCCCGTAAATGCAGTAAACTATTTACTTTTTCGATGTCAAATCAAGTAATGACCCCTTACCGTATTTCTCATCATAAATTTGAAGTTTGAATAAATAATAATATGGTATTTTGTACAAATTAAATAAATTTGTATAATTAATTATCGATTGCTAATGGAGCCCGAATCGGACATTATTCTCTGTTGATTTATTTTACAATCTAAAAGCATGATGGTATATGGCTTATATACTTTATAGTTTAAATGCATGTATTACTGTCTTACCTGACCACTATTTGATTTTGGGATTTAAGACATGATTGCATTACCAGATGCATGTTTATTTATTTATGTGATTATATTTGATTTGGTAACGGAGACTAAGGAAAAATAAGAAATTGATGTGATCAAATAAACAGATAGGATGACAGTCTCACTAGATATACTGGGAGATGGTGGACGGACTGGGTTCATAGGAAACTCTACCGTGAACGTTGTCTCATACTGGACGAGGTATGGGAACAATCCTCTTCACCCTCATACCGGATGGGATATTGAGGTTTAATGTTTTGGTGCTCATACCGGACGGGGTATGTGTATAGCCCTGTAATTGAGATTGTTAAGGAAAATGGTTCACGTGTAATGGGGATACCCTTATGAACCCCCATGGATACTAGTAGGCTGGTGAAAGGAGAAATGATTATGATTTTGTTTATTGTTAATGAATATGAATTTATGATATGTTCTATATTACTGATTGTACATGAAGTTATGATCTGTATGATATTATTGTCTCTATAGGTTATTTTTATAAATTCTACAATGGTAAGTGAACGGTAAATGATTTTATGATTGATAAACGAATTTACTAAATTTAGTGCTCTATTAGTTATTTTAATTTTCTATCAACCTTTATTTTTGTGCCGGTGATATAGTGTGATATTTTTACTGGGTTAGTGTAACTCATCATTTATTTAATCATTTCAAATCAAGAGAACCTGGTTACAGAGTCCAATCTGCATGAAGATTGCGAGTAGATGTTAAATACTTTTTATTTTCTATTATTTTTCGTATTTCTCGTGTTTCTTTCAAAAAATTCATTATGTAATATTTATTTAGTATTTTTAAATTATTTTATAAGGAATATAAATCTTAATTTTTTATTTCGTTTCCGCACTTAAATTATTATATATTTCATTTTGAATTTTCAGAATCGTTACATGTTACAAATAGTAAAAAAGTATACATTAAACTCATTTATTAAACCAACAAAAAAAAAATTCAACAAAAAATTCATCAATTAGGAGCTCTAAAAATAAAAGTAATATGGTTAGGTTAGTTTGGCCACCATCTACGTTATATAAGTATTTATCATATGAATTTTATTGTATAAATAAAATATGTACGTTGAAAATAAGTACATGAACTTGAGTGTTTGAGAGTATATAGTTATAAAGATAAAAGGTGAGAAAACAAGTAACGTATGAAGTGAGGAAGGAAGCTGCTTGGATAGGAAGGGGAGTGGTGCCACAGTCCTACGACGTCGTTCTCGCAGGTCGCAGTCCAAGATTCCATACTGTCAAACTAGCTTATAATATCTATTTAAAATACCATTTCAATGTTAAAGATTTTTTTTAAATTAATAAACCCATTTATAATTATAATTGGACTCAAACTCATGCTTACATAATCAATATATCAATTAACACACACACACACACATATACATATAAGGAATACCAGGAACTGACATGTGTCAATTTTTCATTTTTTGAAATAATTTTATATTTAATATAATTAAAATATAATAATTATATATTTTATTTTTATAATATAAAAATAATTATAAATATATTAAAATAAAAACAATGGTTATTTATCGTTTAATTATAAAATATATAATAATTATTTTTTAAAAAAATTAAAGATAAAAATAGAAATCGAGTGGAATACGGACCAAGGGCTATGGACATATAATGTGGACGGAACGGTTAATAATTCAATCAACGATGCTAGATTTATGACAATTATTTGAGGAGAACGTAATCAGTATATTCTCTATGAAATTTTAAGGGTGTCGATATCCTTTATTTGAGGAGTTGTTAGGATGCCGGAGTGCACTCTCTTTCGTTGTCGTAAATATTCAAGGTCCAAGGGTGAATGAGACTAATGCTCAATTAGTGCATGCAGTGTTTATGTCCAAAGAAAAATATTACTATGAATTCAAATTTGTTGTTGATGATTGTAAAACTATCTTATGTCTTATACACGATGTTTTTTTTCATTATATTTCTAAACAAGATAATCTATATATATATATATATATTTATATTTATATTTATATTTTTGAGATAATATCTCTACAGATATTTTATATTTAATTTGAGATAAAATATTATTTAATTATTTATTTTAAAAAATAATAATAAATTTTGAGAAAGACATATCTCCATGTAGTTTTAAAAAAATAAAATAAAATATTGTCATAGATTTTGAAATTATATACTAGATAAGTTATTAGTCACACGTTTTTATCATATTTAATTTATTTATGTAAATTTTTACTAAAAATTTAAATATGATAATTTTTATATTTTTATTAAAAATATATTTATTTCAGTATAAGTTTACTCATATATAATAATGTTTATATTATATTTTATAACTACACAAATAGTATAATTTTAATTTAACTTCTATTTGATTTTTTTTTTTTTTAAAAAAAAAGGTGCACGAGGTGTGGTGCGGTGCGGAGGAGGAAATAGTGGGTGAGATGTTATTGACTGGTCAAAACGAGACTACGAAGCCCGAGCAGCCAAATTTGTTAGCCAATCAGAATTTTACACCTCAGACTCACTCTTACCAACCACCTTATAATTAATAATATAATAATCATAATATAAGATAATGAAACGCCGTCGTGTTTGTCGTATTTATATAATATACTAACAAATACCACGTGACTCCCGCACTAATTGAAATCAAAATATATAAAAAAAAAAAAAATTCCGCCTCTTTTGACCAATTTAAGCAGTAAATATATAAATAAGTTTATCCAATATATATTATTAGTAATAAAATATTAGTATACCAAAGGTGTGGGCTCCACCATTCAACAAACCTAGTGGTTGGGACCCACCTATCAAGAAACTTATGTCTAGTTTTTTGTTTAATGATGCGTACCAACTTATTTAATTGTATGGTAGCCAAATCCCAAGTACAGTGCATGTGCACCTCTTTCCTACCTGACAATAATTTGGTTGTGATTATTATTTTTTGAATAAATTTAGTGATAATTAATTAATATATAATAATAATATTAATTAAATAACAATAACATATAATTATAATGTTAAATTTTTTTATGTTTAGATGATGATATATTAATGTATGTTAATGACATATTTTTATTTAAACGATACGATAAAATAATTATATTTTTAATTAAATTATTAATTTATCTTTATATATCATATATAATAATAAATAATATAAAAAAATAAAAATTATTTATTAATATAATTATATTTATATTTAAATAAATAATTATTATACATAATAAAATTAAAATTTTATATTTAATAAAATAAATAATTATTATTTATATTATTATATTATTTTAATAAATTTTTAATTATCAGTATACATATATAATTAATTATATTATATTATGATATAATGGTAAACAAATAAAATGTTCATCAAATACCACAAATTTGGTGGTTTAAAAATTCATCCCAAATTTTACCACTTAAATATTATTTGTTAACATTGAAAGTTGAAACAAACATAATTTTTTTACGACTGTAAAATATTATATATTAAAATTCTATTATTTATCATGATTTAAATAGAGGGTAAAAAAAATTTAAATATTACAAAATATTATTTTAAATATTTTATAATTTGTTTGAATTAAGTCCAAAATGATAAGTAGAAGTCTACGTATATATTAATAAAGTAAATAATTAATTATTTTATATATGTCACTATTAATTATTATAAATATTGTTAAATTAAATATTATAAATATGTTATTGCAATCAAGTATTAATGTACTTAATGAATTTTAAATTTATAAATTTAAGTAAAATGCAAAAATATTAATAATAAATTAATATTTTAACTAACATTTTTAATAATAAAAGTAACAAAAATTTAACTTCAACTCCATTAAAAAAAATTACCGAATTAATTTAGGTGGGGTTAGGTGGTGGGTAGTGGGGTCCATCATAAGGGAAAGTGACTCATTAGAGTAGGTGAGCTTGCTGACTGTATACCATCTAGAAATATATATATCACCACACTCGTCTCTCCATCGTCGCCAACCACAGCCCCATTTCTCTTCTTCCTTCAGAAACTCAAACCAGAAAAATCTCCAGATCAAACATGGGATCAACCGGAGAAACCCAGATGACTCCCGCCCAAGTTTCTGACAAGGAAGCAAACCTCTTCGCCATGCAGCTCGCCAGCTCATCTGTTCTTCCCATGGTCCTCAAAGCCTCTTTGGAGCTCGACCTGCTCGAAATCATGGCGAAAGCTGGTTCTGGCGCCGTCTTGTCCTCAAAGGAAATCGCTTCTCAGCTTCCTACCAGTAACCCAGACGCACCGGTCATGCTTGACCGGATCTTGCGCTTGCTGGCGACTTATTCGATCCTCACCTGCTCGCTCCGCGACCTCCCCGACGGCGGAGTCGAGCGTCTCTACGGTCTCGGCCCGGTCTGCAAGTTTCTGACGAAGAATGAAGATGGTGTGTCTATGGCTGCTCTCTGCCTCATGAATCAGGATAAGGTTCTCATGGAAAGCTGGTAATTGGCTAATTTCTCCATTTATTTAACTTTTTTTGTTCAAATGATCAACTTCCACATCTTTTTTTTTTTTAAATGCAAAAATTGAGGAAACAGAGATGCTAATCTTAGAATTTAATGGGGTGAAGAAGGAACCAATTGTTGATCTTCTTTATTTATCCGCTTTTTCACTTCATTAATTTGTAACAAGAGAATATAATTAGACCGCGTTTGGGAAAAAATTTAATCCATTGATCGCCCCTGTTTCTTGACAGGTACCACTTGAAAGATGCAGTGCTTGAAGGTGGGATTCCCTTTAACAGGGCTTACGGGATGACTGCCTTTGATTATCATGGCACAGATCCAAGATTCAACAAGGTTTTTAACCTGGGAATGTCCAATCATTCCACCATTACCATGAAGAAAATCCTCGAAGACTACACCGGCTTCGAGGGACTCACCTCGCTGGTCGACGTCGGAGGTGGCACCGGAGCCACCATCAATAGGATTGTCACCAAGTACCCTACAATTAAAGGCATCAACTTTGACCTGCCCCACGTGATTGAAGATGCACCCACATATCCCAGTACATTTCTTAACCTTACCCAACAATTTTAATGGAGTTAACCAGTAAAATTTCACTTGGGCTTGATGGAGATGAGTGGTTTTGATTACAGGTGTGGAGCACGTGGGAGGAGATATGTTTGTCAGTATTCCTAAAGCAGATGCCATTTTCATGAAGGTCAGTCCGACTCTTATAATGGGTCTTCTGGGAATCTTGAAATTTCAAATTCAATTTTCAATAAACTCACAAGTTTCATATGGATTAACAATGTGGGTAATTGCAGTGGATCTGCCATGACTGGAGTGATGCTCACTGTTTGAAATTCTTGAAGAACTGCTACGAAGCACTTCCAGACAACGGTAAGGTGATTGTAGCAGAATGCATTCTTCCGGTGGCTCCGGATCCCAGCCTTGCCACCAAGCTAGTTGTGCATATTGACTGCATCATGTTGGCGCATAACCCGGGTGGCAAAGAAAGAACGGAGAAGGAATTTGAGGCATTGGCCAAGGGAGCCGGGTTCCAAGGTTTCAGAGTAGCTTGCAGTGCTTTTGACACTTATGTCATGGAGTTTCTTAAGAACGTGTAAAAGAGTCTTGTCACCTCCGGTACATAAAAAGAGTATAAAGCAAAGGCCTTTTGGCTGAAATGTTGGAATTGGGTTTGATCATAATTGGTTTTTGTTGATGAGAATTATAATAAAGATGTGACTTTGTGATGTTTATGTCAATTGATGTTCTTATAATTTTTTATAAAAACATATATATTTTATCTATTAAACGACAAATACACATGTCGTATTGTTTGACTCACGTTCAACTTTTCCAAAGATGGATGGATGATGAGCTTGCTATGACGGTTGGGCCGGGCTTCATCGTGTTTTACGCCGCAACCCAAATGAAACAAGGAACTTCCATGATGGGCCTAAAGCCCAGTGGCCCATTGAAATTTTAAATAAATTAATATGTTTAGTAATTAATTAAAATTCATTAATAAATATGTAATAATTTTTTATAGAAAAAAAATAAAATTACCAAGAGTGACTTAATTAGCAACACGCACATACATACGTACGTATAGCTATGATTTTTTTTCTTAATTTATGATTAAAATAGATCATTAGATTAGTTTTTATATAGAACAAAATCTATACAAAAAACAATCTGAAAAACTAGGAAGGAAGGAAGAAAAAAGAGAATTGAAGCAAAGAAATGGAAATGACGGGGAATATTATTAAAAAGAAGAGGCTATTTGTTCCTGAAGAGTTCCAAACAATGTTCTTGGTCCAAGTTTCTGCTCCAGAACTTCTTATAGTATTCTGCGTAAGTGAAATCCCTGTAAATGGCTACACTCCCATCCGCCGTCAGCAGCTTAGGTGGGCTGATCACTGCATCATCACACGGACACAGGAAAGATGCAATTGACAATCTTACCTTGTCGGAATTCACCACTGCTCTATGCCAAACACTCTTGTATTTTCCATTGCTCACCGCCTGTTAATAATCAAATCAATCCCACAATGCATTAATACTCTCTACATATATATATATGTGTGTGTATGTACGTATGTATGTGTACGCAATGATTAATTAATTACCTGGAGCTGATCGCCGATGTTAATGACGAAAGCATTGGGTTGGGGATGAACTGCGACCCACTTGCCATCTTTAAGAACTTGGAGGCCACTGACTTGCAGGTCTTGAAGCAAAATGGTGAGGGCATTAGGGTCGGTGTGAGCCGGCAATCCGTAAGTCAGCTCCGGCTGAGGACACGGCGGATAATAGTTGACCGCCATGTGCTGTCCTTGCTCCCCCACCACATTTCTTATCAGATCCTTGTCCAGTCCCAAGCTTTCTGATATTAATTCTTCTATTCTCAATCCTAGTTCCCGCACTTCTATACTGTATTTACTCACTACTTCTCTGCAAGCATATGTATGATTATCAATGTTAAGAAAAACACAATGGAAAATATATACATCGCACAGAATAAAGAGAAAATGAATTCAATGAAAAATATGCCGTTCAACAAGAGAAATTATATAATATTATTACATGATTAAGCTATCAACAACTAAAAATAATTACGTAGATTCCGGAGCTGTCCTGTCCGCCGGATTGTCGCACCAATCAACGGCGGAAGACATGCCACCTGATTTAAATCTGCTGATGTTAACGCGGTTTTACATAATCTAATCTAATACATTAATAATATTACGCAAAAAACAAAAACGACACCGTATACAACGTGGTGCTCCGGCACCTAAATATGTGTGTTCATACGTGTAACCTACGTGGCAATACTGTCTATCTCTATTTTTATCTTTGGGAAGACGCGAGAAGGATGATGACGTCAGCAAACGGAATCATGGATTACGTCGTCGGATGACTCGAAAAAGTCAACCGAAGACCGGGTTCATTTTTTTTTTTTTTCCATACATCCCATGTGTTGGTGTTCGTGTCCACACCCGATCCCAGCCGTCCACCTCAAGCTGATTCATGGCCCTTCCTGGTTTCCGTCATTACCTGTGGACAGGGTCACTGTGTCTTGTGTGGAAGCATACGGCGGTCGGCGGTTTGTCGTTTATTTTCCATTTTAAATTCATTTATTCGTTTTTTTTTATCTGAATTAAAAAATATATATTTTCAATGATGACGTCCTCTCTGACGTCATAATTCTTACGTATCCATATCTACACCTAGGGATATAGGGCTGCAGAAGTGGTAAATGCTAGAAGCCTATGCTGCCTCCTTTGCTATATGACTAAAAAGGGACAGGCTTGATCCTTTCCTTAATTATTAATGCCTTTCATCAATATTTCTATATATATATATGTACTAGATCAATTGGGTATGTATATAAGTATACAAAATTCACGTGGGCAAAACGTGGCACAATTTGGAGAAGACGAAAATTAAGAAAAAAAATGTGATTAAAAAATTATTAATTTTAATTAATTCTTATAGATTGTTTACATATATGTATATATGTTGGCATATTAATTTATAAATTGATATTTAAAAAAAAAATTTGGGAAGTGTAACATTACATGTGTACTTTAATTATAATTAAATTTTATTATTCTTTACGTGAGTTATGGTTCATGTGTTCTTTTCAGTGTATTTGAAATTGAGATACAATTCATTTTGAATATTATAATAAGACACAAATTTTTATAAAAATTTTCAGACATGGAAGAATATAATATATATATATATGTATATGTATATGTATACGATGACAATTGAATTAATATATGAATACTTTGGCATTCGAACTGGGTGCAATTAAAAATACTAAAATTTATATAAGAGTTTTGAGATGAATGTGGGTGACATCAGTTCGGTTGGAAACTCTGAAAATATCAAATTGATTCAGAAGAAAAGTCATAACGAGATATGGAAGGCGGAGCATGTATGTATGTATATGAACATACTTACTTGAAAGAAGGAGGAGAAGAAGGCCACTCCGGCATGTATTTGTGAAGAGGATGACAATGGAGACGAAGGTAGTCTCGCCAATTATGAACTTTCTCCTTTTTGACATTAAAACTCGTCGACAGTCTCGTTGTCTTCGCCGGATCATCGGAATAAATCTTCATCTTCTCTTCCATCGGCAGACTAAAAAACTCCTTCGCCACTCCTATCATTCCATCCCTTGTCTCCTCCGACACCCCATGATTTATCACCTATAATATAATACACACATATATATATATACACACCCACATAAATAGAATCGACCAAAGTTCGCTCTCTATATACATAAGTATATATGTACCTGGAAAAAGCCGAAGTCCTTGCAGGCATCGGAAATCTGCTGGATGATTTGGGTCCGGTCGTCACAACCCAGGTCTACAACAGGGACGTTTTGGCAAGCTGACACTTCCGCTAATCGGGGACGCTCGGATTCCGGTCTGACGTAATTTTCCGGTAAGTTTTCGTACCGGACACCGGAGGAAAGTACTTTTGTTTCCATTAAACAAACCCAGATATATATATATATATATAAACTGTAGATTAAAAATACAAGTGAAAGAGAAAGATTAATGGGGCAGAAAAAAACAAGCACCCTTTACTTTCTTTGTTTATTCCTGTTCGAAAGGTTCCGTAGAAGATGATGAAGAATTCGGACGGACAATGTTTATATAGACGCACGAGATATCGGCTGCAGTACAAACTACAGTAGCTGTTTCGTTGACGAAGCTCTTGATTAAGTCTCGAGCCAATGGTGGATTGACATGTGTAGCCTTCTTGATATGGCTTACGCGCTGTTTACACTCAGCTCCATGCACTGTAAATTTTATTTAATTTAACATATTGGTATCTATACTTGTTAAAAATTTTCAATTTAGTCCCCTCTTCTTAGCTCACCGTTACATTAAGTGCTTTTTAAGTGTCAAATTTAATAATTCATACGACCTTAGCTTTGTATATATATAATCGTCTTTGATGATTTTAGTATCAAGAAACTCGATCCTCAAATACTCAATCGGGTTTAAAATAATCTCTTAAATTTTTCGATCAAGCAATACAACTTCTGTCGATATATATAAAAAATTGGTCGTGAATTCAAAATTAGAGGAGTTGATGGTGTCAAGAGAAAATTTGAATTTTACAGTTATCGCGTAGAGTATATATAATGATGAGAGTATATAAGATGCGGAAAAGCTTTGTGTGTGAATTCACAATAAATTATAGGAAAGGTTAAGAGAGCCCACCAAGAGTTAATACTAAAACCCTACGTAACCACCATTGGAGTTGAGGTAGATCTCTCCTCCTGCCCCATTGAAGTCGTGGCAAATTCTACTTACATATATATATATATATATATATATATACATTGAAAATTTAGGGTTCTACATCAGCAATTCATTTGAATTTCCACAATTAATGTGACAAAATAATAATGATGATTTTGGATTTTTAATTTACATATAACATAATTTATAGTGGAGAATTACTTTACTCAAAATTATATGATATTAATTAAAAAAAAAAAAATTGGAAGACATTGTTTGACGCACGACCCTCATGTTGGGTGCTTAACAACGAAACACATAATTAAAAGACAATGCCAAGGTCGCTAAAGGATGCCTTATTAATTAAATAATTGACTTTAGTCCCTCCCACTTATAAGTACAATACATAACACTATGATTCCAACTTTATATTTATTTTTATTTATAAAATTTTAAAAAAATAAATCAATTTTTAATAAAATAAATAAAAATAGTACAGACGATAATATGACGTATTGAAAATATGTGTTAAATAAATAATTAATATAAATATATTTATATTAGATAAAACTGAGTTTGAAATTAAACCGGAGGGTCTAGTTGAAAACGTAGATTGGAGTCGGTGACTGGTTGAAAGGGGTAGCATAAGTGACCACAAGAGGAGGAAGGCCACATGCGTGGCTACCATTCATAAGGCGGCACATATTCTTGATGTGTCCATCCGTACTGCCCCCACAAAGAAACTCCCCCTACTCTACCAATTTAATACATTTTAGAGTAATATCGTGAAAATTTAAAATAATTTTACACGTAAAACTCAGTCTCTATTTTTTAAATTAATTTTTTGAGTTTTTTTTTTCACAAATTATAAAAATTAAAAAATGGGTATATAATAATAATTTTTTTAAATAAAAAAAAAATCCAAGTTATAGTTTCTTTAAATATTTTAAATTATTTATATGGGATCCAAAACAAGACAATAAAAATATTTATCATATTTGTACAAATTTTAATTAAATTAATTTATTACAATTTGAAAATCATTTGTTTTTTTTTTATTTGTATTAAAAATCCTAATTATTCTGCTTTTTTAAAAAAAAAAAAAATATTCCGTCATCTTAACGGCAATAATTGACGTCATTCGATGACGACGGCACGCTTAAGGTGACAATGCCATGTTCTCATTTTCTTCAAATTCGAGAAGGCCTCTTACTCCAATAAAAATATTAAAAAATAAAAAATAAAAATGATCTCCGTTTATAATCGATTTAAGTAGGTTAAAATCCGAAAAATTAAAATTTTTAATTTAATAATTGCATATATT